CCTCTAAGACCAATGTTAAAAGCATCCACACGCAAAATAAAAGGTCGAGTGTAGTCAGGATATGCTAAAACCGGAGGAGTTGTTAATAACTCTTTGAGATCCCTGAACACCCACTCACAATCTGAAGACCAAATGAAAGATGATGTTGATGACTTCAACAACGCTCGCAATGGTGCAGTGCGATCAGAAAGATGATCCATAAAACGCCCGAGATACTGCACCTTGCCCAAGAAGCACTGCACATCATTCACACACTTCGGAGTAGGGAACTTTAGAATAGCCACAAGTTTGTTAGGATTAATTTGCAAACCCTCACGAGAAATACAGTACCCAAGATAAGTTGTGTCCTTGGATCCAAACATGCACTTCGACCACTTCAACTTTAAACCAACGTCGCGTAGTTGATCCAACACTTTACAAACATCACGAATATGCTCCTCCCACGTCCCCTCCGAGTGGATCAAGACATCATCAATGAAGTCAGCAATCACCTCCAGCATATCGCAAAGAACCTCGTCCATCATCCGTTGAAAAGTTGCTGGAGTATTGTTCAAACTAAATGGCATCACCAAGAACTCATACAAACCAAATGGTGTACGAAAAGCAGTCTTAGGAATATCTTCTTCGGCCATCGGTACTTGCTAATACCCAGAAGCAAGATCTAGCTTGGAGAACCAACGATTTCGCCCCAGACGATCCAAGAGATCAGTAGTGTGAAGAAGAGGGTACACATCCAGGATCGTTACGTCGTTTAACGGATGATAGTTAATGCAGAAACGAATACTCCCATCAGGCTTCGTCACAAGATGAGGTTCACATGCCCAAAGACTCCTCGACTTCCGAATAACACCCTTCTCCAACATCTCCTTGACATTTGCATGTAAAATTTTGATTTCCTTTGGTGAATGACGACGAACAGGAACCTTGATTGAATGAGCATCCCCAGTTGGAATCGGATGACGTGTGGCAATCTTGGCTCCAGACGATAGGTCAAAGTCAAAGAGATCAGAATACTCCTTTATGAGCCGGTCAACTGCTGCAACACAAAGATCGTCGGAGGGATCGAAAAAGGGAAGAGCAGAACAAGATGGAAACATAGGAGGAAAGAGTGGGGAAACAAAAGTAATGGAAGCAGAGGTAGAAGTAAAGGGACGAAGAGGTACAGAAGTGAGAGGAATGGATGAAACATAAGGAAGTATGAGACAAGGGGGAGAAGCCTCAAAGTCACACTTGGCATGATGGTGCTGCAACCAATCCATACCAAGAATGAGGTCAAAAGCTTGACTCGGCACCACCCGCAACGACTGCAACTCAAGCTTGAGATTGCCCACACGCACAACCAGGTCTGCCTCATCCTGTGCACATGCATGTGTACGGCTGTTGCCATAAAGAATGAAAACTGGTTCCGCCGCACGACGCAAGTGTAGACGACAACGTGTGGTAACAGGTCGAGCAATAGAAGATAAACTTGAACCTATATTAACCAACACGGAGAGAATAATAGGAGACCTCTTGTTATAAAGACGAGCTTGGAAAGTAAACACTGGATGAACTGGTGCCGAGTGAACCCCTTGATGATACTCCCGAAAGAAAGATGGAAGGGTCATTGACTTATTCGTGCAAGGTCCCTCCATTACTTGCGTGACTCCTCGTTTTCCGGATGCAAACCTTCCATTGCAGCAGCACCAACGGGACGTTGCTAATGCCAAGGTCTCCACCCAGGAAATGGAGGTCGCCAATCCGGAAAACGCCGACAATGCCGATAAGTATGACCAACTTTATCACATGCCCAGTAGCGAACATCACGGCCACGACCACGTCCTCGCCCTTGACCTTGGACTTGAGCAGTAGTAGCATCAACCTCCATTGGAATAGGACCATCACCCACAGGAAGTGGAGCTGAAGGACGTGCAGCGAGAAGTGGAAGAGGCAACGTCTCATAACGTTGTGCCAAGCGAAGAGCATCGTCAAGGGTGGCGGGAGCAAGTGCATGCACAAGTCCGACAAGATCTTGACGAAGTGCTAGCTACAACATTCTTAGCTTGATCAGCTCTGATATATGTGGCTCCACACGAAGCAAAAGACTTCGGAAACGAACACCAAATTGCATCACTGACTCAGGTGGCCCTTGGCGAAGACGATGCAATTGTTGGAAAGCATCATCACAGTCATTGGCATGTCCGAAGACACATTTGAAGACATCCGGAAGAACACTCCAATCCCCGCGAGTGGCTGCTCCCAAACTGTTATACCGCAATGCCGTCCCTTGGAGACATGTGGGAAACTCACGCAAATGTCGAGCATCATCCCAAGAATGATATGTGGCAATCACCGTAAAGTGATCAAACCAATGGTACACATCATCCCCAGGATTCCCGCTAAAGAACTCCGGTTGAACGCGAGGATTGGCACCAAGAGCAAAAGGAGTTGTACCACGTGCCGTGAATGCCGCTATCAATTGAGTTTGGTTGTTCAATTGCAAGCACATAGCATCAAGCAATTGTACCAACTGCTGCTCCAGAGTCAAAGGAGGAGATTGTTGATTTGCCATGTGTGAGATACAAAATCCCTAGGCCCCAAAGTGGAGCCGAAAAGGGTGCCACGTAGTAGTGGCCAAAGCGAAAGCCAAACGAGCGTAACACGTTTGGACTAAAAGCTCCGACTTGGAAGGTCGAGAGCGGGAGTGGAACTCCCAACAAAGTGCTCGAGGAGCGAGCTCGAGGCAATTAATAAGCAAGGCTCCAAAAAGGGACCCAAAAAGGACCAACACATGACACATGGAAGAGTCCGAGATGGACCCGAGATAGAGTCTGAGATGGAGTCCGAGATGGGGTCCGAGATGGAGTCCGAGATGGACCTGAAGTGGAGTCCGAGATAGACCCGAAGTAGAGTCCAAGATGGAGTCTGAGGTGGACCCGAGATGGAGTCCGAGATGGACCCGAGATGGAGTCCGAGATGGACCTGAGATGGAGTCCGAGTGGAACCCGAGATGGAGTCCGAGATGGAACCGAGACCGAGACTGAGACTGAGTTCGAGTCCAAAACCGGGACTGAGTCCGAGTTCAAGTTCGAGTCCGAGTCTGAATACTAATATAGGCAGTTGGGTGAAAGCCCAAAGCAATCGTCCCCCGGGGGGGGGGGGGGGGGCTGCTGGGGCTTCCAAAAGTATAGTAGGGAGAGTGTGGGGGTTGGACCCCACTGGAGCCAGTTTGGCTAGGAAAGGCCAGTTTGGCCCAGGAAGGCCATGCCCCCAGTGTTGGGTGATGAACTGACCACTGGGAAGTCCAAGACTAGAGTGAATACGGATCGACAAATAGGGTAGCTTGGTGAAGTGTTCAAGAGCCAACTCTAGTTCCCCCGAGAGATCGACTGGCTGATGCTCCCAATCCAAGTGTGGGTGGCACTACCTACTTGGATACCTAGCGTGGCTCAACGGAACCTCGCTCTAAGCCCATGGCTAGAGCACCCAAAGGCGGAAGGCGGGGAGAGTACCTATGAGGCTTGTCTAGGGCCACGGTGTTCCGAAATGTTGTCCCAAAGGCCCAGACTATGGAAAGGAAGAGAAGTAGTCCTCTAGTGTAGTGACTAAGGATATAGTCGGGTGGTGAGGAAGTCCCAGAGGTCCGTGGGACTTAGTGGTCGGGCTTGTGGGCCTCAATCCAGTGGCAGTGTTGGTGAACACGGCCATGGGTAGAAAGGGACTTGATGGGGACCAGAAAAGGGATATTGGGGAAGGCGAATCCCCATGTCTGTGGGCATCTTAAGGACGCTAAGGAGGGGATCTGGAATGATCACTCATGCCTTGTCCTTGAGAGGTGGGACTATGATGCAATTGGTGTTAGACCACCGGTGTGACCAAGGTGAAGGGGCATAGCCTTAGCGTAACAGGCTGATATGTCAATGGTACTTTGGGGTGTCGGTCATGGGATCGGACATGCGAAGCACTTGGACTAGGTGCAAAGGTTGAGTGGCGGGAATGCCATTCTCGGGGCTAGCAAGCCCAAGTCCGAAATAGGACTTATGGAGGTTGTGAAAGAGACTCCTCCAAGTGGTCGGAGGCGTGGTTAAGTGACTAAAGTAGAATGGAAAAATTAGTCACTTACACTATGGAGACGAATGAAAAAGAAAGAGCAAAAGAAGAGAAACGACAAAAAGCTAGAAGGAAATGGTAGATCTAGACAATGCAAAAAGCTAGATTTAAACTAAAATCCTGAAAGGAAAGAACAAAAGAAAGGAAATGGAAAAAGCTAGATCTAAACTGAAATCCCAAATCCAAGCACTCCCCAAGGACAATCAAAAGTGCCATTCACCTCCACCAATGTGAGTGCATGGAATATAGAAAGGGAATACAGAAATGTGTATATAAATTAGCCCAAAAACCCTAGTTTATATACAGGAGCGAGTGGTCCGGATTAAAACCAATCCGACGGCTACCAAAATCCCACTACGCTAATATTAGTATACGGCATCGTAGCCGTACATTTGGCCCTCACAAATATAAATTTTATTATTCAATTTCATCAAAATTACAAAATTGACTTTACAATAAAAGATGATTAGATATATTATAAGATATTTCTTATGAAGAAGTTTGTTATATATAGTTGACAATGACTTAAAAAATGATACAATAGAAAGTTGCAACTTTTAAAGTTAAACTAAATAATTTTATTCATTATAGAACAAAATTTCAATGATACATTTATGGTATATCTTTAAAGCAAGGAAAATATTTGGGGGAAAAAATTACAATTAACGAAGCAACTCTTTTTACTATAAAAACAATTTTTTTTAACTAAAAAAAAAAATTTTAGCAAAGAATAAATGAAAAAAGGCTAAATTATACTATTATTGTTTTGACTGGAAAGGTGCATTGATTGAAACAGGGCACATATTGATTAAAATTTGTAAAACACTGCTTGAACACCTTCTCACATCCAACCTTATCCTCGGTTTGAAAGCTTGAACCTTCTTTAGGGTTTTTCTTAAGACTAGGTTTAAAATCCTATCTAAGTAACTAAAATAACAGCGATCTAGGGCGATGAAGGCTGCTGCTCATCCGTCCATGACGCTGATCGAGAATGCGAGGTGCGCGAGGAGAGCGCCAGTAGCAATGGCGAAGATCGGCACGGGTGAGTGAATCTCTTTCTACATTCCTGGAATTTGAGCCTGAGATTCTCAGCTGTGGAGAACCAGCAGCTCCGATTGCGCACTTACAAGCTATCCGAGCTGAGCGACAGCGATATGAAAGGCCTGGCAGCGCGTCCCAGGATTGATTTCTCCTCCATTTTAAAAACAGTGAGGAAGAAATCGCGCTTGAGGGACGTTCTAAGTTTTTCCGTCACAGGTGGAACCAATTGTCGAAGATGTGAGGTTTTCTGGCGATGAAGCGGTGATCAAGTAAGCATTCTTTTTTCCTCTCTTCGCTTTGCTCGTGCCTTTAATATCTTCTCGCTGGCGAGCTTTCCAGGTACACCAAGAAATTCGATGGAGTGGAGCTTGACAACATTGTCGAAAGGGTGTCCGACCTTCCAGATCCAAAGGTAAAACTTTTCGATCTATCTTTCTGCAAAGCCGCAAAGAAAGTATGATCTCATTCACGTTTTGGCAGCTCGATCCAGATGTCCAAGCTGCATTTGATGTGGCCTTTGACAACATCTACAAATTCCATCTTGCACAGCGAAAGACTCAACAGCTTGAAGTAGAAACCATGCCCGTCAGTGCTCTATCCGAGTCTGGTAACTTGGAGCTTGTGTGATAAATACTAACTCCTCGGCTGTTTTGCCACCCAGGGAGTTAAATGCCGGCGAGTTGCGAGGAGTATCGACGCCGTCGGGCTTTACGTCCCTGGTGGAACGGCTGTTCTTCCATCAACAGCGCTCATGCTAGCAGTGGTACGTCATGTCTTTCACTGATCTTTCTTCTTAAAGCTGCAAGATTAATAGCCCGCAGGTATTGCCGGATGTGAGACGATTGTTCTTGCGACTCCACCACGGTCGGACGGTTCAATATGTCCGGTACGTGTTTTGTTTTCCTCGAAAAGTTGTCAAGCTTAGTGGAGCAAGCAGGAAGTTTTATATTGTGCTAAGAAAGCTGGAGCTACTCACATCCTAAAAGCTGGAGGAGCACAGGTACTCCACTCTTCATGCTCTTTTGTTACGTGTTCTCATCTTTGGAATTGTTTAGGCTGTAGCTGCCATGGCATGGGGCACTAATTCCTGTCCAAAAGTAAGAATTTGTTGTTGAAGCTTCCGTGATTGACGTTCCATCTCCATATTGCCACAGGTCGACAAGATCCTAGGCCCTGGAAATCAGTATGTAACTGCTGCGAAGATGTTGCTACAGGTACGAAGTTGCATATTTTCCTTCTTAGTTTACCGTTTTTTCAAGCTTTTCTATCCTACAGAATAGCGAGTCTATGATCTCCATAGATATGCCTGCTGGGCCCTCGGAAGTCCTTGTCATCGCGGATAGAAACGCGAATGCGATCCATGTAGCCGCGGATCTCTTATCCCAGGTTCGTCAAGCTTTAGCTTTGTTTTTTGCTTAGAAACGCTTTGTGTACTTACAGGCGGAGCACGGCCCGGACAGCCAAGTGGTTCTCGTGGCTGTCGGCAGCGTCGACTTAGAGGCCATCGAACAGCAAGTTTACAAGCAGTGCCAGGAGCTTCCCCGGGGAGATATCGCGTCGGTCGCGCTGGGTCACAGCTTCATCGTCGTTGCTCCAGGCATGGCAGAGGTCAGTCAGTCAGTCCTTTACGCGATCGTAGAAAACTAGATAAGAGTTTGCATCCATTCTCCAGGCTTGCAAGTTCTCCAATGTCTACGCGCCGGAGCATCTCATTGTCAACGCCGAGGACGCTGAGGCTTGGCTGGATCACATAAAAAACGCAGGTTTGCGTAGCACATTCTTCGCGATTGAGTGGAAGTTTTTCTCTTTCTTCTTCTTCGCAGGGTCTGTGTTCTTGGGAAGGTGGACGCCCGAGAGCGTTGGCGACTACGCGAGTGGAACAAACCACGTCCTCCCGACGTACGGCTACGCTAGGATGTACGGCGGCGTGTCGCTGGACTCGTTCGTCAAGTACATGACCGTGCAATCGCTGAGCCGCGAAGGGCTTGGTTTGATCGGCCCGTCCGTGGCGATGATGGCCGAGGTCGAAGGCCTGGACGCCCACAAGCGCGCTGTGACCCTGCGCTTGGCGTGATCCATTCAAACTATACATCGATCGTCCAGTCCCTTGCAAACAATCCTTTTGGCGCTAGGTTTTAGGGTTCTTGGAGGGGGCTATGGCTGCTGGTTCGTCCCCACTGTTTAGTTTCCAGCCATCCTCCCCGTCCCCATTCGCAGCTAGCAGCACGCCATCGCCATTCGCTCCTCCTGCTGCGTCCTCGTCGCCATTTGCCAGTGCTCCATCGCCATTTGCGTCGACGCCGCCCGCGTCCTCGCCATTCTCTGTGTCATCGTCGCCGTTTGGGACATCGTCGCTCTTCCAGCCGCAACAGACGCAGCCACAGCAGCAGCAGCAGCAGCAGGTTCTTCCGCAATCCGGGCAGCTCGGCCTCGTCACGAACGATCGCACGCCAGTGACTTACAGTACCAGATGGGCGGACATCCATCCCGACTCGCAGCGCGCGCTCCTCAAGATCGAGTAAGTGTGAGCTACTTCGAAGTTATTTTTCATGATCTTCCGCCATTTCCAGGGAGAAGATCTTGGAGTACCGGGATGAGAGCTGGAGGCTGGATCAATGCGAGAGATTGTACGACACCGCTGCGCTAAACAAAGGCTTCGAGCTCGATGCTACACGCATCTCCCAGGTATGCCAGTTCTTTCTTTTTCTTTGTTTCGTTGGGTTTAGTTCTATCAGCTTAGTCAGTATAGCTGTCTATAGTTCCTGTCTATATGGTTTTTCTATCGTTCGTTCTCTCGCAATCTTTAGTAGTTGTGACCATACCATTGCTAGAGTTTGTGTATTTAGCTCTTCTTTGTTTCTTTGGGTTTAGTTCTATCAACTTAGTAGATCTTTGTCTATCTTTCCTGTCTATATGGTTTTGCTCGTTTGCCAATCCTAACATCGTGGTGTGAATTCAGGAGCTCTCGGGTGTTGCCATCGGAATCGAACGAGAGCAAAGCTCGCTCCAGGAGCTCATGAAGTCTGTCAAGGACATGCTCCGCAACACAGAGGTAGCCGTGCGCTCCTTCATGATGCTGTGCCTGCGTTTCCCGCGTCCATCCGGAGGAGCTCCTGGCGGAGGAACTGGAGCCACGCCCCCGACCTCGTTCGCAGCGCAGGCTCCCGGTGCCGTCTACGTCTCGGACTTCTACATCGGTGTCCCCGTGAAGCCTTCGCCTTTTTTGCAGCAGGCTGTGGCAAAGTTTGAGGGGCGGCTCGGCGAGTACAGGCAGTGGGTTGAAGAGCTCGAGAGGCTTCTCTTGCGCAACGACAAGGATGATAGAGCGGTGTCGGACGTTTCGCTTCTCCAGTCGCTGCCCGCGGTGATGAGCAACTTGCACGACTTCTTCATCTATGTTGCAGCCGAGGTACTCGTTTCTTTGTTATTCTCTCCGGGTTAAGCTGCGGTTTCCAGGTGGAATCACTACACGAGTTTTTGGAAACGATACGGCTGACTTTCCTCGCCAACCAGCGGCGGAGGGGTGATGACAACGATCCGTTCCTCGAGGCTGACATGCGAGAGAACGCAAAGCGAGAAGCAGCGGCAAAGAGAGTGCATCCAAGCGCTCTTAAGCCTTCGGAGCTTGCTGCTTACGCACCCTCGGCGCCTCCATTGCCAGCAGCGGGATCATCGGCTGCCTTCACTCCTACCCCTGGAGGATTCACTCCTGCGTCGTCGTCTTCACCATTCCCGTCGATTCTGGGAAGCGCATCCACACAAGGCTTTAACTCGACGTCTTCGGTCTCGGGACTAACTCTACAAATACCATCTCTTTTCCCTCCTTCGGCTCCGTCGATTGGAACAACGCCCTCTATATTTGGTCTGTGCGATCGTTTTGCTTTCCTTCCTGTGATTCTAAAACACTTTCTTTGTAGGTGTTCCAGGCACCACAGGCTTGTTCGGATCTGGTGTGGCACCGTCGGTGAGTTAACTCTGTTTGACGCTTGCTTTTCTACCTCTTCGCTTACCACTTATCGTGCTGCAGTCAACAACAGCGAAACCAAAGTCACGAACGTCGAGAAGTCGACGATAGAAATCTTATTTGGGCCGCGGGGGAGAATGTAAAGTTCTTGTCAGTGTGTACCATTGTCGAATTTTTGCTGGAGGTAACTTAAATTTTTTTTGTGGACTTCACGTGGTTGGCGAGCACTTCATTCTTTCCAAGATTTGCAAGCCTCGCGTGTGTTTCATATCTCAAGCTAGAGAAACCATATCACCGAAGTTCATGAAATATTTTTCCTTTATACACTTTTTTTTGTCTCTTCAATTTTTGTGGTCGATGACCACGCTATGCCTGTCCGCGAGCACAGCATCCTTTCGGGCGTTGCGAGCTCGGTCGAGCCTCTCGGATGGTGCCAGTGTTTCTTCTCCTGCGCGGCTATCCCCGGCGAGCAACGCAGCCAAATCCGTGAAGCTGGAAACTCTCAGTGGATGCAAGCTTGGGATTGCCTGGTATCCAGATTTCGCTTACAACGCCGATGGTGGAGGAGGTAGCGCGTGCTCGGTGGAAGATTTGGAGCAGGGAAGATTGGCTGTGCGGTTCGACCCAAGCTCCGTTTCCATTCCAGCTCTGAGTTTCTCCACCACCAAGTTGCTGGGACTTCCACTTCCACCTCCGTTACGTATAGAGATCAAGCCGCAAGCTCTGGAAGGAGTGATTGATCGACACACAGGAAAGGTAAAGAAAAAAAGAGAGCAGCCTCCTCTCTTCTTTATCTAATGAACTTGCTGGTTACCCTCCCTTGTAGGTGGAGCTTAGATTCATCGCGGAGTTTTTCTTCACCGCAGGTCCAGTGTATAGAGCTCCAGCTCTTGTCGTGGATACGCTCCTCACGACGGGAAGTTCCAGTGGGAAGCACAGGAGCGGCCAGGGAATCGCCATGGATGAGAACGGGAGCTGCAAGCTCGTAGGCACTGCAGTCATCGACAAAGTTAGCGATGGGTTCCTCGATGCGTTTCTGGCGCTCCCGAGTGAGTGCCTTGCTGAAATGTACGCACGGATAACAGTAACTTGATCTTAGAAAAACGTACCAGTTGGTCGAAAGCTTATATGGTGACGACTATCTGCTTCTCTTCCGGCTCTGGTATGTCGTCTCGCTGCTGCTGCTGGTCCTCCTTTGCAGTGTGATCTGATGCTCCATCTCCGAGGTTCTTGTTCTGGAGAGCGACGAAATCCTGCGTCAGTTTGCTAATCTGCTCCAGAGCAGCCTCCAGCTTGTTCTCAATCTTTTGTTTGTCCTTCATCAGCGATTCTATCATTTCTTGGTTGTTGACCTCGATCTCCGACGCGCAGGAATGCCTTGCTGATGTCGGCACTGGCTTGTTGACGAACTCCACAACTTTGAGGTCACTTGGAAGAAAAGGACGCTGTTGCTGTGGTCGTTGCATGGCTTCCTCCGTTCGTGGAGGCTGAACAACGTTAGTGACAGTTTCCTGTAATAGCAGAGAAGTTATTGAAGTGCGAAAAGAAAGAGAGAAAAGGAAAACTTACGACAGCTGAAGCTGGACGGGACGAGTTCCTTTCTGGGTGGCGAATCTTTCTTCGCGGGGCTTTACCGCTGATCAAGCGGCTCCAAAAGGTGCGTAGTCGAGATGCCTTTTCAATCTTAAAACCTGTTTGGAGCTGGAAGTATTGTGGCAGCATCATCACGTACACCTGTTGATTTAATTGAATTAAGTAAACACCGGGAGAAAGTTTCAAGACTTGGGAAGTTACCAGATTGCTGTGCCGAAAGCCGTGTCCACCATAAGTTATTAGAAAGTTCCGTCCACGATGCTGAGCGCTCACAATGCTAATTCCCTGACAATCCAGAGTCAAGCTTGCATAACTAGAAAATATATCGTACATCGTTTGCCAAGGGCGAGTTTGGTGAAACAGTCGTAATAACAGCCCACGTTTGGGTCGGCAAATCGAACACGAGAGTTCCAATAATTTCTGCAAAGCCCAAAGTCTAGACGTGATTTGCCAAGAAAAATCTGCATTTACCTTTATCGCTGTATTCTCCTCCTACAATGTACCACCTGTGGCCAACAATTACACTCGCATGGCCAGCACGGGGAACGACGTTGCCTCTTGGCTTCGTTGCAACCCATTCCATCTATAGATTTTGAAGATCAGAGCATGAAGAAACAGGACAACGGACTTACCGCACGTAGATCTAGGCAATGCACATCGCTAAGATAAGAAGTTCTTGATTTTCCACCAAAAATCCACAGGTAACGCCCGGCGTAGCATGCAGCAGTATGACATTTCCTTGGACAAGGCTTTGAGCCACTGCATCAAGGAACCACAAGAGTCAGTGAGTGGTAAGAAGAGACAATGGAAAGCTGTACATGGTGCTGCAAGGAAGCCATGAAAACGTTTTGAGATCCAAGATTTGAATATCATTTCTCAGCTGGCCTCTGGCATCCTCGCCACCAAACATAATCAGCATGGAACCAACATGAACGATGCTGTGGCCGATGCGAGCCATCTGCAAGGTAATAAACCAGTTTCATTCTGGACAATGTTAAGGAGCACATACCGGTATTTCTCCATCCACGTCAAGCTTTGTCCATTTACGTGTTTCCAGTTCAAAAGCAATGACTGCAGGTTTGAGCGGTTGGTTAAAATGTTTATAGGACTACTGCTAGCAAACCTTCCAAGATCTTCTTCATCGGTTCTACATGGCCTCCAAGAACAAGCAGCTTCTTCTCCCAGAACACCTGCAAAAATGCTCTTAAAAACAAAAGGTATAGTTCGAGACTGACACTACCAAGCTATGGCCGGCACAATGAGGGCCAGGATAGCCCAGTTCCGGAACCCATAAACTCCATTCCCTCCATTCACCCGTAACCGTATTTAGTTCCTGGTAAGTAGAGGATTAATTTGAGCAATAGAAACACTTGATTGGTACCTGGACGTCGTTTAACAAGCCCCTCGAGAAAATGCCACCCACAACGAACATTCTTCGACCCACCATGATTGCCGCATGCTACAGAAAATACGCCAGAAAAACTAAGCAACAGCACAAGATAGAAAAATCACACCTTGGAACGACATATCGGTGACTGGCCTGTTACTTGAAGTTTGTACCATGAGTGCTCATATTTAATCATGTCAAGGGACTTGATAAACAGGTTTTCTTCATCTAAGGCAGCATGGTGCTTCCGGTACTAGCAATTTGTAAGATCAGTATCAATTAAAAGAGGAAAAAGAAAAAGAAAAATAAATGAGAGAGCACCTTGTAGGCAAACCATGGTACGCAGTGCACTTGACTCTTGTAGTGCTTGCAAATTCGGCAGCTGCAGTGAGACGGAGTTGGACTGGCACCGCTGCTACCAGTGACAAACTGGCAAACACTAGCATCACTTCTCCGTGGCAAGGCCCAAGGAGCTTCCGGGATGAGATCCAACGGACTGCCGGGTGCACCATAATACGGATCAGTGTTGCTCATAGCTGCGGGTGATGAATCTTGCAGCTTGGTTCTGCTTCAAATGAAAACCAATGCCAGGCACGTGATGTATTTGAATGGAGACATTTTCTGACGACGTCCACAAGGCTGGAAAAATGAACGGCTGGTGAGCCTTTCAAAGCATTTCAATGTCCTGATTACCGCTGCTTCGTAAAGGCTTACCACAACGCGTGGCCTCCATCAAGTGGAACCATCGGGCAGAACTTTATGAACATCCTAGTGTCGGGACAGATCTGAAAGCCAACACACTAAAAACATAGAGATTAAGATCGCAAGAACTGTAAGAACTAGCTCGTACCGGAACTGCGAAAAGCTCGTTGTCCTTCGTGATCAAAACGGGAAGGCCCCTTCGAACGTATTCCGGAAGGGACTTGAGCTTCCTCCAGGCGCCGTGTATGTCAGTGCGCAATGTCCCGTCATTTAGAGCACGTTGTCGGATTGCGTGAAGATCGTTTCTCTTGAAATCCCGAATTTTTGCAAACTTTGCAGTCCTCAGCGAACAGGTGCCATTGAAACAGCCTTTGCAGCTACGATCATCGCTTCGTTGCCACCACGATATAAGATATCTCTTCATATAGTACGTGTTCTCGTTCGGAAATAGTAGACTCTCGTCGGGTTCTTGACTAGCTACCTCCGGATCCTCTTGCACTTCCTCTCGAGCCTTGGGCAACATGTCAGCTGCCATTTCCTCCGCCAGTAGACATAGAAAACTTGCTGTAGCATCTGATATAATCTTCGCTTGCCTCGCGTCATGAATAACATTGGCATATTTCCGGCATGCGATAGTTTCTTTCTTTGTCGAGGAAGCAGGCTCGTTCTGTTGTCTCGAGCCAATAGAACCAGGTCGTGGAGAATCAGGGGAGTACGTCACAAGGACCTTGGAGGCCTGTGTCCCTGGTTGTAAACATAAAGAACAACCAGCTACCGTCAGACGACCCTGCAAAAAAAGTATTTATGAAGTGATATTATACAGACCACGATAAATACCTCGGTACCACGCTTGGTAATCCAGGCTCTGGCTCTTCGAACAGCCGTCCCTTTAGCAGGTTTTGGTCTTTGTGAAACGAACTATTAAGTGCATAAAAACAACAAGAAAGTCTGTCAGGAAAACAGAGTGTAATAACGAGCGAACCCGTAACACTGAAGCCAGTAGCGTTTCAAGAACGGTTGTATCATTGGTTTCTGCCAAAAGTCCCTCCACATCGACGACAGCATAGCCATAGCCCTGGCAAAAGCGTCACAGGAATACCGTGAGAAAGAGCAGACAAACCAGATCGATGTGCACGAATGTAGTCATGAGCATCTTGGTTTGCACTTGAATCTCGGAACGTTTTTTGCGGTATGTAGCAATAAGATCTTGAACTTCGCTCCGCATTGAATCTGCAAGATGGTCATTACATCCGTATCGCAATAAAGAACAGGACCTCTAGAACCTGACAGAGAAACGAGCTCCTTTCGGATTTTGTTACGAGCATAGATCGTTTTGCAGTTTGTGGGATCCTCAATCCAGGACTGGCCAGCAACGTGACAGACCTGAATTCGGGCAGTAAAACCACTTACAAGTAAAAGAAGACACTTACATTGTAAAGATCCTTCTTTTGGAGGTCCAAGAGTGGCCTGACAAGTAGCAGCCTGCTAGCCTCGATAATCGATGGCACGATAGGAAAGAGCTCAGAAGCTAAAGCCATACAAGCCAGACCATTATCTCCACTACAGCGCGAAAGCCTTAGCGCAAATAACTCCGCCTAGAAAACAGACAGCGAGTTTGCGTTTGGCATTTGTAGACACAAGAAAAATACCTGATCATCGGCATGGTGAGCAGTAAGAAGAACTCCAGCACCGTTTCTTTGGCATGCCTCTTGGAGAAGTTCGTATCTGACTCAAAAGTCCACCACGTCAACTCTGGCCAGAACTTTCATAGCTTACCTTGCTTTGCGAGCGCTTTCCTGGAGATGGCCAGGAGAAGGAAATCCTCCTTGCCAAGAACACTTGAGAATCTCGCACTCCATTCCTTGTTTTGCAAAGAAATTTTAGAAACATTCCAGGGAGTAGATGCAAAGTTTTGCGTACCAATCGTTCTTAGCCACTCCCGGACTTGGACGACTTCCTCGGCGCTCTCGCGACGAAATCCATGGTCCACCGTGAGGCCAAACACTAGACTTTTGGATTCTGTCCACTCGAGAGCGAGCAAGCACAAGGCCATGCTATCAGCTCCTCCCGAAACTGCAATGGCTGCGCGAAATCTTTTGATGAGAAAAGCCAGTGTGAGCTAGGGCTTACCGACGCGATCGCGGCAGCTCACTCCCGCAACCTCCATTTTCTTGTGGAACACAGCGCTGGCATTCTTGAAATCTCGCTGGCCCTCGCAATGCGCGACGGGCAAATCCTTGACGGGCATCCTGGAAGAGGACACAATGTGAGCGGCGATCATCGCAAGACAAGGCGCACCGAAAACCACAGCGCAATATTTCCCCCATTCCGCGATAAACCCTAGCTACTACCATGCAAGCGCCTCTTCTCGATCGATCCAGAGCGCGATGCGAAGAAGACGATCTCGCCGAGCGCCTCAAATGCTGCGCCGATGCCGCTGCCGCGAGAAATCTCCACAAGCTCATCGCCAGCAGCAATCGGCACTGCCAGAGCCGGTACCTGGCCAACCTCATCGTGCAGGCATACGGCCGGTGCGGATGCCTGGAGGAAGCGCGAGCGGCATTCGACGCGATCGCGCGGCCGAATCAGTTCTCCTGGAACCTGATGCTCGTCGCGTATTCCCAGAACGGGCATCTTGACGGTGCAAAGAGGATCTTCTCGATGATGCCTGATCCGGACGTTGTCTCATGGACTGCAATGCTCAAGATCTACGCACTTGAAAGAAACGTGGATCGAGCCAAAGAAATCTTTGCGAAAATGCCCAATCGAGATGTGGTATCCTGGAACACGATGCTCACACTGTATGCCTCAATTGGGCATTTTGTGGAGGTGGAAGAGTTCTTTAAATCCATGCCTGTGAAGAACGTAGTGTCATGGAATACGATGATCCAAGCGTACGCTGACGGTGAAGATCTTGATCAAGCAAAGTCCGTGTTTGATACAATGCCAGAGAGAAACGCCGTGTCGTGGAACACAATGATCCAGGCATATGCCCAACAAGGGCATATCCGCGCTGCGGAGGACGTCTTCCAGCGAATGCCTGCGCACGACGCGATCTCTGGGAACTCTATGATCTCGGCCTATGCCCTGGTGGGCGATCTTGCGGAGGCAGCAGCGATCTTTGATCGAATGCACTACCGATCGCTTGCGTCCTGGAACGCGATGATCCAGGCGTTTGCTAGCAACGGACAGATGGAGGCGGGGGAGGCCCTGTTCTTGCGAATTCCCGAGCGCGACGTCCTCTCTTGCAACTCTATGATCGTGGGTTTCGGGCAGTCCGGCGAGATCGCAAAGGCCGAGCGCGTGTTCTTCCTCGAGACGATCCACAAGACCGTCGTCTCGTGGAGTGTGATGATCCAAGCGTACGCTCAGAACGGCGCAGTCGAGAAATCGCTCGAGATGTTTCACGCGATGCCGGGGACTCGCGACGTCTTTGCATGGAATGTGGCTCTACGCAGTGCCGCGGAGCTCCATCGCCATGAAGCATTCTTCCGGAGCATGCCAATGACGAATCTAGCGTCGTGGAGGGCGATGATCCTCATCCACATCGACTGCGACCGCCTGGAGTGCGCCATGAGCTTATTCGATCTTATGCCCGAGCGAGACACCGCTTCGTGCAATGCGATGCTCTCGGGGTATGCCCGAAGTGGGCATCTCCAGCAAGCGAAAACGCTCTTCTCGGAAATGATCTGTCGAGATATCACGAGCTACACTATAATGTTCCAAATTCTTCTGGATTTTGGAAACCTCGATAGTGAGGCAAAGGTGTTCTTTGATTCAATGCCAGAGCACAATCTCGTTGCTTGGACTGCGCTTTTAGCAGCCTATATAAAAAAGGAACAATTCGACCAAGCAAAGTTTATCTTCGAGCAAAGAATGCCCGATCATGACCCAGCCTCATGCAATCTAGTAATCAACATGTTTGCAAAGAGCGGCCAGATTGATCTAGCTAAGAACTTGTACCATCAAATTCCAAATAAAGATCTTGTCATCTCGACTGCCATGCTCACAGCATATGCTCAGAATGACTATATCGAAAAATCAAAAGAAGTATTTGATTGTTTGCCTGAAAGAGACGCAGTGTCTTGCAACGCCATGATCACCGCATTTGGGCTCAAGGGTGACGTAGAAGCAGCTATTAATGTGTTCCAAAGCATGGCAGAGAAAACTCTCACAACATGGAACCTTGCTTTGTCTCTAATAACTCAAATACACGAAGCTCTACTGTTTTTTCTGGGCATGCCAAATCAAGATGTGGTGTCTTGGAATCATCTGTTGACGATTTACAGCCAAGGTAGCAGCATTGATGCAACAAAGCTTTTCTTTGACAAGATGCCAGAGATCAACGCTACTTCATGGAATACTCTCCTAGCAGCCAATGTACGCTCTGGGAATCACTCGAGAGCTTTAGAGCTTGTGTCGTGGATTAGTGTGGGGGGTCTTAGTCCAAATGAAATGACATTCCTTATTGTTCTTAGTGTGTGCAATCACGCTGGATCTATTGAGAAGGCCGCCTACTACTTCAACACAATGGTCTTTGACTACCATATATGCTCTCTAAAGGAACATTATAATGCACTTATAGATGTCTTAGCAAGGGCTGGACAATTGCGAAATGCTGAGGAGTTTATGGCTGCAATGCCTTCTATATCAAATCTGGTTTCATCGCAATCATTGTTATCAATGCATGACTGTAGTTACAAAGAGATCTTATCTAGAATGGATTTGCAAAAATGTAAATTTTCATCTTTTTATACTTTACTTATTAACTCTTTAAGAAAAACTTAGTTTTTTCAAAAAATATATTTTCCATCTAAACTTTCTTAGCAATTTTAAATATCATCAAAATAAAAAAGATATAGATTGTACTACATTACATAATAAAAGCTTAAAAATAATACTCCAAAAATATTTTATCACAGTTATGATTTTTGTAAAGTATTTTTTTTCAAAATATTTGAAAGAGTATTTTATAAGTGATGAAATCAAATAGCAAAACTTTTGGAAATTAAAGTAGTTACTTTTAATCATATTTACCATTTGAATTATATTATATCATATCATATAAGCAAAAATAGAACATGTAATGAATATTTTTAATATAAAATAATATTTATTTATTTATATATATTATTATTATTAATTTTAAGATTTTATATTACAAAATTAAAATACTTTATTTTTAAAAATTATAATATAATAAAGTTCTTAGAGTCTGAAAAATATTCTTTCTCAGTATAATTTACTGAGAATCTAAATTATTCATATTTGTTTGTTCATAGAAATGAAAATCTAAAATATCTACATATGTTACTTTTTGATATAACTCATGATAACTTATAAACTAAAATTGAATTATAAATAAAGAGAAAAAAACCTTTAGTGCTTGGACTGCGATATGAATTTATGAGTCATTCATTAACATCCACACACAAGTAATACAGAACATATGCTCATATAAAAATTATTCATATTTTTTTGTTTATATAGAAATTTATGATTTTTTATTTAAAATAAATCATATAATTAAAAATTTTACTTTAAAAACTAAATAATTACAATTTGTTTTTATTGAAGCTTATTACCAAAAGTATATTAAATTAAATGTATAATATTAAAATTTATGTTAATATATTACTGCTAATCTTATCTTATGTTAGCCTTTAAATATACAATTACATCAATTAAATTAATATATTAAAATATTTGAGTGCATTTGTATTAAGAACTTAAAGCAGTAGGAAGAACACACTTATTTTTTGTTTCTTCAAGCAGCTCATAAGATCAGTTTGCCAGGACTCTCATGTTGAAAGATAGAGCATTTGAAGAGCAGAATAATTTAGCTGCACAGATCAAGCTCCACATCCAGTCAAGAGATATTATCCAAGGTAGATTTGCCCACAAATCAATCCTGAAGAGTGCCCACCGTTCCAACTTGTTCCTGCTCAACCAAGTCATCCAAATGTATGGGAGTTGCGGGGCAGTAGATGATGCCCGCAAAGTTTTTGACAGCATAGACACTCCTAATCTCTTTTCATGGAACATCATGCTCAATGCATACACTCGCAATGGTCTTCTCGATCAAGCCAAGCAATTCTTCGACACAAACCCTCACAAAGATCTTGTAGCATGGACAACGCTAATGCAAGCATATGCCACAAAGGGGTACGTGCAGGAGGCAAGAACACTCTTTGACAACATGCCCAGAAGAGACACTGCGTCGTGGAACACACTTATTCAGCTCTATATTGCAAACAACATGGTGGAAGAGGCTGGTCATGTGTTTAGATCAATGCCTCAAAGGGACGTGGTTTCTTGGACAGCAATGCTTTCAGCATTTGCCGGGATAGGGCATTTGGATCAAGCAAAAGAAGTATTTAGCCGTATGCCTCAAAGAAACATGGTCAGCTGGAACGCTATGCTGCAAGGATTCGTAGAAAATGGAAAGATTGAAGAGGCAAGAGAATTTTTCTCTAGAATGACCGAGCGCGGTGTTCTCTCTTGGAACATCTTGATCCAAGCAAATGCCAGCGTTGGAGATCTGGAGCAGGCAAAGTCGATGTTCGATACGATGCCAATGCGCGATGCAGTGTCGTGGACGGCGATGGTGAGCGCGTACTGTCAGGCAGGGGATGTGGATAGCGCAAAGGCCCTCTTTGATGCTATGCCGGAGGAAAGCATCATAGCCTGGAACGCAATGATCCATGGCTACGTGAAAGCAGGCGACTTTCGAGAGATGAGGCTCATGTTTGATCGCATGCCGCAGTGGAGCGTGATCTCCTGGAACGCTCTCATCGCGGCATACGGCCAGATCGGGGAATTCGTGGAGGCGAACAGCCTTTTCGATCAGATGCCCGCGTGGGACATCGTTTCTTGGAACTCTGTTCTTCAAGCAAATGCGATAAGTGGGAGGCTGCTCCACGCTCACCAGATCTTCCATCAAATGCCCGCGCGGGACATCGTCTCTTGGATCATCCTCCTCTCCGCGAATTCCCAGCACGGCGATCTGCATCGCGCGAGAGAGCTCTTCCTTGCCATCCCGGAGCATGGGATCGTTCCATGCACGGCGATGATCCAGGCCTACGCAGATCACGGCCGCCTCAGCGACGCCGCCGCGATCTTCGATTCCATGCCTTTACACAACGCGGTGGCGGTCAATGCAATGATCCCAGCGCTCGCGCGAGAGGGCCATCTCGATCAGGCCAGGCAGCTCTACGATTCCGTCCCGGAGGTGGACGTGATCTCCTCCACAGTGATGCTAGAGGCGATCATCGATAGCGGCGATCTGGACGCCGCGAGAGAGATGTTTGATTGCATGGAGAAGCGCGATATCGTGTCCTGGAACACGATGCTCGCGGCCTACTCCCAGAGAGGGCAATTGGATAAGGTGGTGGATCTCTTTCAGCGGCTCAAGGAGACCAATGTGGTGTCTTGGAACACGCTCATGTACTCGTACGCTCAATCCGGGCGCATGGCCGAGGCCACGCAGATCTTCCACTCGATCGTCGCTAGGGATGCGTCGTCCTGGACGACGATGATCGTCGGCCACCTCCACGCCGGGAATCCATCCCTTGCCAAGGCCATCTTTGACGAGATGCCAATGCGAGACCTTGTTTCGTGCAATGCCACCATTGCCAGTCTCTCCCAAAGCTCCCAGCTTGAGGAGGCGCGGTTCCTCTTCGAATCCATTCCCGAAAAGAATCTCGTGGCGTGGAACTCTATGATCACGGCGTATGCCCAAAACGGGCATCTCTTAGAAGCGCAACGCATGTTTTTTCTTGCGCCCGCGAAAGATGCCATTACGTGGAATGCCATGCTTGCAGGATTTTCAAACAATGGTCTTACGTCTCTAGCAAAGAAAACGTTCGATGCTTTGCCCGAAAGGAATGACGTGTCATGGAATGCTATGCTTGCTGCATATGCCCAAACTGGGCATCACAGTGTGGAGGCCATTTACCTCTTTCATTCGATGCAAGTGGAAGGACATACCGCGAGCGAGGTAGCTTTTACGACCCTTCTCTCGATCTGGAGCCAGTCAGGTCAGGTCGAGGCTGGACGACTGTTCTTTTCAAGAATGATTTGCGACTTTAGCATCTCTCCAGGCAGGGAGCACTATTGTACCACAATTGATGCGCTGGGGAGAGCTGGGCATCTTGGGCAGGCAGAGGAGCTCCTGAAATCCATGCCTGTTCTTCCCGAGAGCATTGATTTTGGATCATTCTTGAGCTCGTGTAAACTTCACAGGGATTTTGGCCGTGGAGCACAAGTTGCGAAATCTATAGATCCTTCAAAGTCAGCTCCATACATCCTCTTGTCCGATATTTGCCGCTGTTAGCTATATAAATAAATCCTTTTACATTGGTTGTTTCAATCTTTATTGTTTATACTAAATTATAATTTCTCATTATTGGACTTGTTCTTGATGTTGGATTTGTGTCTATCAGCTGACCAATTTTCGTTTTGTCATGTATGCAACTATATACAACTGAAAACGCAAGAACCAAAACAAAAAAAATCCACTCTTTAAGTATCTTTGAACACTTGGGGAGGGAGCTCTTTTTCTCACTCGCAGAGCCTGCCATCTCTCACGTTGTTGTCAATGCAGCTGCTCCACTTTGATCGATCCGGGGCTACTCGCGCTGCTGCTCGACTCGGAAAACGATCCAAGCCCGGATCGCTGCAGCACACCCGTGGGCGACACCACCTGGAGCTGCCGAAGATCTCTCGCCGACCCTCCAAGGAAGGTCAAGCCCGACGACTTCACCTCGCTCGCATTGAAAGCCTCCGCCAGCGGACCTCCCACGGAAGCTCGCGCCGCCGAGAACCATCCCAGCTCCACCACTCCGCCACCCGGCTTGATCAAACCGCCGCCACTGCTACCACCTCCGCCCCCGCCACCACCATTGGTGGCCGAGTCCGTCAGCTCCTCGACGCTACTCCCCATGCAAAGCTTTACCATGCTATCGTTCCCACCGCCATCTTCATGCGATCCTCCAGAGGCCGTGCTTGGAATCGAGATGGAGAGATGCGTCCCGCCGCCGCCGAGCTTGAGCTTGTGGAGCTGCTGCTGGCATGGCTTTCGATCGTCGGAGTCCGACCACGACGTCATGGTGGAAGCGTCCCTGGAGCGCGGCCATTCGTTGAAGAGCGGACGCAGCGCGTGGGAGGTGTCCGGTTTGATCTTCTCGGCCACGGATGGATCGCTCGCGTAGTAATTCAGCTGCTGGTTGTGCTGGTGCTGCGGAGGCGACGCGAGTAGGCTGCTCAGGCAGTGCTGCGACTCGTCGCTCGCGTTGTGGAAGAGCTTCGAGTATGAAAAGTATGGCGAGTCCGGGTTGCTGCTGGCGCTATTGCTGGTGCTGCTCGCGTTTGACTTTGGGAGCTGGAAGAATGGTGGTGGCGCTGCTGCTGAGGTTGGATTGACTCCTCCTCGTGCTGCTGCTCCTGGAAAATTGGATTGGTTTGCTGAGATCCCGGATCCGGGTGCTGCTAGAGCTGCTGCTGAGCCTCCAGGAACCTCCGAAAGAAGCAGCTGCTCGGGACGCAAATCAAACGACGTTGCTTTACTTATACCATTCAAAAACCTGAAAAAAAAAAGGCCAAGCAAACGGAAGAAAGATGATCGAAAGGATGCGGAAGAGCTGCACTGAAATCCACATATTCTAAGGAAAAAAAAATAAGAGAAAGACAGGCCAGCAAAGAAAAATAAAAGGAAGGAAGCCATGCATGATTTCATGAACGCAATGGTGGAAACCACACAAACTCAGACGCAAATCTCACTCTTTGGCACACTCTCACTTCCCACTTTCACACACACTTACACTCACGAGAAAGCAACGAGACAAACAAAGCGGGATTGACATGGCGACAAAGGTTTCCAGGCACAGACACCAACGGGGACGGGCGAGAGAAAGGACTAAAAAAAACGTTCAAGCGGAAGAAGGCAAGGGAAAGAATGAAAAACAAGCTCGCCATTTAAGATGAGCAAGACAAGGAGCGCGGGGGGGATTTATAAAAGAAGAAAACAAGCACTAGAGCCAAAACGCCAAGCAGCGCAGCATAAACTCCAATGCGCCACTGTCGTAAGCAAACAAGTGTTTTTAAAAGGCAGCAAGGCGATCAGGAGGATCGAATCCTTCGCCACTGTTCATCGCAATTGACTCTCACAAAAGCTCCCCACGCAAAAATTACTATCACACTTCGGTCAATCAATACTTTGGTGGCGTGCATGGGTGGCATTCATGAACGATACAAATTTCCAAGCTCTCATCTCACTCACCTCAAGCTCCAGATTCTCACGCAAACAAAATGCGAACCGACGCCACGAGCAGGCAAAAATCTAGAGCAAACGACACGAGCAAAACAGAGAAAATGCAGGAAAGCAAAAGACATACCGCCAGCGAGCTAGCTTTCTAGTTCTAGCTATGGAGGAAGAAAAAGAACGCACCAAGGAAGAAGAAGAAGAAACGAAAGGAAAGAACAAGCATTTAAGTTATGGTGGTTTCGAAGTACCTGTCTTTCATGGAGAGGGGTCCAGCTCCAGCGCTGAAGTAGCTCGATTGCAACGGGACGGAGCTCTGCTGGTGTGGATGATTCGAGTGGGACGAAACTCCGGGAGATCCTCCTCCAGCTCCGCAAGAGCTTGGAACAATGCCGGTGGTGTTAGAGCCACCGCCACCGCCACCGCCACCACCACCACCTCGCATCATCATCATCAAAGCTTGGTGCTGCTGCTGCGAGTGTTGATGCTGCTGCTGCTGCTGCTGCTGCTGCTGCTGCTGCTGGTGATGGATCGCCAAGTTCACGCTACCATCCGCGAGAGACGATGACCGATGGTGGTGGAACATAGACGAGGACGCATTCGAGATCTCAAACGCGGTGGAGAGCTCGCCCGGATGGTGCTCGCCACCATGGCTAGACGCGATGATACCACTCGTGCTGCTAGTGCTTGTGCTAGTGCTGGTGGTGGACGAGACTCTTCCCATTCCTCCCCCGCCAGTGGTGGCGGCCGCCGCCGCAGCTACCGCCGCCGCCGTAGCAGCGGAAGATTTCTTCTTGTGCCTGCCACGATTGATGTGCCGCTCGCAGTACTTTTGATCCGGGACGATGGGCCGTGCACACCGCCATTTCTTGCCGTCGGTACGCCGGCACCGTCCTGGCTCCGCGTCGAGGTGATTCGTGTGTACCCCATGCCCACTGCCAGCGTTGGCCGACGATGGGATCGTACAGGGCCACGATCCTCCTCCACCTGAACGATCGAATCAGAGAAAGCGAAAGAAGAGCAACCAAGAGGAAGAAGAAAGAGATGGATATGGAGGGAGATCTTTGTTACCTAGAATGGAGGAGAAGGAGGTGGAGCGGATTGGAGCGATGAGCTCGGGCGGCACGGGCGCGCGCGCCAGGATGTACTTGAAAACCAGCGCCTGGTGCTCCAGCTCCGCCCACTGGAGGGACGTGAAGGGATAGCGCGACGCCATGAAAGCTTCGTGGAGGCCCAGCAGGCTGCTCGCGCTCCCCATCGCCAGCTGCTGCTGGAATCCTGTCACGAAGCAAAACCATCGATCAATCCTCCTAGAAAACACTTTTATCCACGCTCTCGCTCACTCGCGACGCTCACCCATGGATTGCTTCATCGCTGGCTGCTGCTGGAAGAGCATCGGTGATCTCGCGAGATTCATCGCTCCTCCTCCTCCTCCCATCCCCGGCATTGCCATAGCTCCTCCCATAGTTCCGTAAGACGATGCGCTAACTGCGGACGGTCCAGCACCGGCCATGGTCGGAGGAGGCATGAGGATCATCCCAGAGTGCTGGGAGGACGAGGAGGAATTGGCGAACGAATTCGGTGGAGAGGAGATGGATCCGCTCGTGTGTAGTAAGTGATCCTCTGTGGCGGCGGTGGCGGCGGTGGAGGAATCGGTGGGCGAGCCGCAGGAGCGCTGCCGCTGGTGCTGGTGCTGGTGCTGTTGCTGGCCGTGGTGGCCGGGCGACGATCCGCCCGATCTGCTAGACTGCTTGGCGGAATCGCTGCTCGTCCGCGCCGTCTTGTTGCTCGTGGTGGGTGTAGCGGGCAGGATGTCCCCCAGCCGTCTACATTTGCTACTGCTGCTGGATTTCTCGCTGCTGCTCGTCGTCGTGTTGGTGCTACTGCCCATCAAATCCATGCTGTCTATCGCGCGAGCGAGCTCCCAAGCTAGCTAGCTACTCTCTTCTCTTCGATCTTACACGATCCTTGTTCCTAGCCACCCAGAGATCGTTCCAGCGGCGATCATGATCGATCGAGCGATCGAGCGATCAACTAGGCTAGATTCGCCGCGCGACGGCGCGCTGGAGAGGGCGGCGATCGAAGTGAGTGAGAAAAACACTGTGGAGTCAGGCCAGACCGATGTGTCAGTGGTACCACAAAGAAGAGGAAGACGGAAGAAAAAGAAGCTGGGCTCTTCCAGGCGCCATATCTAAAGCTCTTTCCATTCTATCTATCATCTGTTCTTTGCAGATCGATCGCCGCGCGCGCGCGAGAGAGAGAGAGAGAGAGAGAGGGAGAGATTTCTCCCCTCCTTCACTGCGATTATAAGTAGCTTTGGCTGACGCTCCAGAGAGAGGCACTGGCTCTCCCCGAGCAAATAAACTTTAAAGCCGCGCTCCTTCTCTTCTTCCTCACTCAACAAAGAGTGGTGGAAGAAGAAGTGATGGAGTGGAAAAGTGCCCTAATTCTCTCGCCCATGGTATGGAATCTGGGGGGAAAATGCTGCCTCCCTCGCGGGGCACACCCTGGTCGCTGTGTGTCCCCCAACAAAAGATAAAAAGAAGTGGAGAGATCAAATCTATCTCTCGCGCTCCACCTCCGATTTTGTGGGAGGAGGGGATGGAGCGATCGATTCCATCGTCCCCTTCATAGACGACCCAGCTCGATGGATCACGACGAACAGGAGAGCATGGGTATTCTTTGTTTTTTTTTGTTTTGGTTTGTTTTAATCGCTCTCCTCGAGGATTGATTGATTGATTGATTATCCTCCAAGGGCTTCTAGCTGGAATGCGTGCTTGCTTGCTTGCTTGCTGGAGGATGTGAACTCTAGCAAATCGCGATTCGACGTGGATGTGGTGTCACGCATCACCACGCTCCACAGCAAATGCCCACACGGGGCAATTGCCGGAGTGGCGCTTCCATGCACAACCGGCACTGGAATGAATGCCTTGGGCGAGAAATTCTACTGCCTCTATTTTCTCATCTTCCTTGCTTCTTCGCCGCGTTTGGCGCTTGCGGAGGATGCATTCAAGGCACGGACAGAAAGTCTTAAAAAACCAAAATCAATCTGACAGAGAAAAAAATATCCCCAAATAAAAAAATTCCAGAAAAGAAAAAGTTGAGAAAAAAAAAAAAGAAATCGCGAATCTTGTTCAAATTGGAATGGTGGTGTTTGATTTAAAATTCTCGTTCGCGGGGTTGCGTTTGGGGGGTTTTTATTGAGGCGGTGGTGGTGGTGGCATTCACGTCAGAGAGAACGATGTGTAAAAAAGTATATTCCATACATTGAATGTGAATGGATTCCACCCATCATGGGGCCATGGCTTTTGGCATAACCTCCGTTAGTTCTCGACCGAGGCAGGATCTAAGCACCCGGAGATTCTGTCATGATGCTCTGTTTAGTTAACGACACACCAACCACGGTTTGTTTGCTTGTGGGGGAGAAGAGAAAACGCCGCGGGCGGTGGTATGCGTAGGTCTACGTATTTTCTCCCGATAAGTTTATTTCTTTCAACTGGTAACTTATGTGGTCAATGGGCCTAAACGCAAGATCTATTTCTAGCCCTGTGGAGGGCACGGACAATAGCAAGGACTGCGTGATACATGCAATGCGAAGCCATTGCATTGCTGTATCCATTGTATACTCCACTGCTTTACGATGATGGGAAGGTAATCATCATAACCCTTGGGACCAGCGCATTTTTACGTACCCGTGGCCTTTGTTTTTACCCTCTGGTATTTAATGAAAAAAGAAAAAAAAGGCGTACGGTCAGATGTTATGGCATGCGAGGATGGATGCTCTCCAATCGGATTCTGCCACGTCGCGGGAAGGGCCTGCGTGGCATGTGTAGCTTGCCACGCCATGCTCGCCCATTGAGGATGCCGCCGTCATAAAAGTGCTACGAAAGCAACATCTGGCCGGCGGGCGAGGATACCGACAACCGCCGTTTGCTGCCGGCCGACGCCCGACCACCGGAGACGGGATATTCCAGCTAGCGATTCGCCAATCTAGCTAAAAAGAATTCTAGGTTTTGACCATATGCTTCGCGCCAGACAGGGTTCGAACCTGTGACTTTCTGCTCCGGAAACAGACGCTCTATCCACTGAGCTACAGGCGCTTTCTTGTGTTATATTTACAGTGATGTTGTCTACTACGGGTTTCGTTGTCTACGTGCCTTCCATGCACCAAAGCGCCAATGCTACTAAAAAATGTGTCTTGGGTGCATGGTGATCAACACGAGATTGATGTCTTGCTTGTGCCTTCTCCTCGTCGCGTTCGTGATCTTGTGTGATCACTGCCATGGTGGAAGTGGAAGATCGAGCGAGGATCACTTGCTCCAGCGGATCTCGTCTTCCAAGGAGGGGAGCAGCCCTTTGATCCTCGAAGAGCCAACGCAGCTCGTCAAGACTCAGTGGGGAGAGATTCGAGTGCTCTTGCGCTCGCCTTTGCTCCGGAAGCACAATGTAGGCCTGGGATTTATCACATTGCGGCCGCGAGCTTTGCTCCTCCCACACTACCTGGACGCTTCTTTCGTTTTTCTCGTCCAACAAGGTAATGGAAGCTCTTTCTGGAAAGATTGATTTCATTCTCTCGAATCTAGGAAGCGCGAGAATTGGATGGGTGGATCAACAAGGCGAGCTGTTGAGGCAGGATCTTAGCACCGGTGATGTGTACGCGGTTGCGGCAGGATCATTGTTCTACCTCTTGAGTACGCACGAAGATGAGGAGCTCAAAATCTATGGCCTCTACGACACGTCAGAAGCCATCGACATCGAAAGCATCAAGCCGTTTTTCATCGCTGGCGAGTCCAACTTGTTCTCTGGATTCGGCACAAGGCTAGTCTCAGCGGCTTTCAAGGTGACGAAAGAAGTTTCTTCGATTCATATTTAAGCTTTAGAATCAGGTGTCCGAGGAGGGAGTTGCCGAGTTTTTGAGGCAGCAGTCGAGTGAAGCTATCATCCCCACAAGTGTGGATGCATTCGCGCAACTAACGTCACATTTGCCTGAGGCCTGGAGCTGGAAGAACGTCGCCAGCTTTCTCCTCAACAAGAAAATGCACGGGAGAGCTCCTCGGCCCCTCAGCCTCACGAGCAGCAAGCGCTCTTTTGCGAATCAAAATGGCTGCTTCGCATCGACGGGGGGCAAGAAACTGCCCGTTCTCAGGAAATCTCGTCTCGGAGTATCATTCGTGAACCTCAAAAACGTAAGCGTCCAATCTAGAGCTTTGGAAAGATCTGATTTTTCTTCGTTCTCTTCACCGTCCAGGGAGCACTTTTGGCACCGCACTGGAATCCCCAGGCCATGGTCGTCGGCGTCGTAACGAATGGCACTGGAAGAATCCAGATCGCGCACCCGAATGGCACCAATGCTCTAAACAGGAGCCTGGAGGAGGGAACCATCTTCGTGGTGCCTCGATACTTCCCAAACTGCGAGCTTTCTTCCAGAGATGCCCCTCTCAAGTTCCTCGGATTCACAGTCTCGGACGAGTATCACGGGCACGGCCAGCTACCGCAGTTTCTTATAGGTAAGTGTTTGTCAATCAAGAATTTTTAGCTTATTTGGAGCGAACTTTACCAGGTAGGAGCTCGGTTCTTGACAAGCTTGACATGGAGACTCTAGCGCTGTCGTTCAACATGCCCGAGGAACTCATAGCGAGCGTTCTCGGCGCCCAGCAAGACGAGAATATATTTTCCATGCTTGAAAGCGAGAGCGAGATGTAAGTAGCATTGTCATATATAATACAGAAGGGAAAGGGAACATTACCATGGTATGGATACATCCAAGTTTTCTTGGGTCTTCATAATCTGAAAGTCGGGGGTAATACAGGAGGGTGCCTGCAGTCCTGGAGGAACTTCATCAGGTTCAAGCCAGAATCTTTTGCTGCCTCGCTTCGGCAATTTGTTCTCTTGGTGATGTGTACACGGGGTGGTGGCGGTGCTGGCTCCGACTGCGAAGCCAAGCCATGAAACTAGAATAACAAAAAACATCTTAGAATGCTGAGAGACTGAAATTTTTACGGGAAAAGCTTGAAAAACTTACTTGACTGAGACCATGCAAAAGCAGTCGGTGGTGCGGTGCCGGCATCTCCAGTACGAGCTCGTCGTCTCTCCCGCTCACAAATTCGAGCAATTGATTCTTCACAACGAAGAAAACATAAATAATTTCCGTCCATCTTACAGGAACGAAGAAAAAATATATCTCGTACCTCAAGAATAGGAAGCAGTGGCGAATCGGAGAGCCGCTTTAGTGCATCGCGAGCATTGTGATCCACTGCTCGCCATGCGCAAAGAGCCGCAGCTTCCTTACGTTTCCCGGTCTTCTCAAGTTTTCTCAACACATCGGCCTGAGAGACCAATCGAGTTTTTACACAAGATGGAAGCAAAACAATGAATCGCAGAAGGTTACCTGGTAATCCATGTCTACGTTATCACGAAAGGGTTCCCACGCGGCGGCCATGGCTGCTCCTCCACCTTCCGTCAATTTCTCCAGCGGTGTTTGATAGTTCCTCTCTCCTGGCATTTATGGTTTCGAAAAACACAGCTCTTTGCGGTGCAACTCAAGTACCCCAAGGAGGAGGAGCGAAGAGTCCGCCAATCTCGATCGAGTCCAGAGGCGGAGCGAGCTCGCGAAGTAGCCGATCATTCACCCATCTTTTAAGGCGACGATTGCTCATCTAAAGAACAAAAAATAAAAATTGAGATCCCGTGTGATGAATTCCACAAACCTTTCCATCCGCGCAAGCCTCGCGCACTCGCTCTTCCGCCTCGGCATACACACCCTCGCCCTCTAGAGCCCCCAAAATTTGCTATCAAATTTCCAAATCTCCTCAAGAGAGAAACATCACCTCTGGGGAGACGCCAGGTGCTGCGATCGAGAAATGCGCTCCTCCTAACAGATGCCATCGCGCCCTAGGCAGGGGTAATCCACCTCTTAAAAAAGTATACAGCCCATGCAAAAGTTTCTATCAACTTTCTTGATCTGCGTAGATTGGCCACCTCTTATTCAAGCAGCGGATGTGGTTGACTATGAGCAGTTTGGGCGTACGAATCTTTGCGGGGTCACTCCTTTTCAACTTGTTTAACATTGTTTTAGGATGCACATATCGCAATCTTGTCTTGTAAGTGTAGATATCCTACTGTTTGCATCGCGACCTTTGCCGAATGCATAGATCCTCGCAATGTGGGTGAGATCTCGAGCGGATCCATTTCTAAACCGTGCCCGGATCGGGGTGGCGTGGACTCTGCGAGCATTTGCCCAGAAGAAAGAGAGAGACGAAGCATTACGCGATACAAAAGATAAATCACAAGTCCACTCTCGCATTGTGGGCTTGCTACTGTTTGCTTCCATTAAAAACTCGATAGATGTTGAGAGTTCGCGTGTCGGTTTTGACAAGTTCAACGAGCGAAAACCATCTCCACGACTCTTAGACGCTTGTAAGATTATTGCATGATCAAGTCCATATCTCAAGATCATTGTCATACGGAAACTTTGCATTAAGTTGCGCATGAACCAGGCAAAAACATCGCAGCATAAATGCCATGCTCTTTTCGGACTTAGCTTTTTTGCATGTTTCTCATGCGAAAGCAGCAATCCGAGCGAGCAAAGTGAAGCAATCCATGGGACAGTATTCCGTGTGGCACCGTCACTTTCCGCATTGATCCTTTCTTCTTTCATTCGAGTTTAGGGCTCCTCCCGAAACAACGAAGCTTTCAAACTTTGCAAAATCATTCATTGTGTGTGGAGTAAATTGTCATGGATTGATCACTCCTGGGCTTGAATTCTTATAGCTTTTCATGCCAGGAAGGATCATGGATCTATCACACTAGCCTATGAAGTTCTTAAACCATCAGTAATTACCTATCAAGTTCTCACAGAAATCTTGCCTGGAGCGTTTTCCTTCTTGGTGAAAGCCTTGGCAGCCCTGGTAACCTTGGAAACCACCATGGACTGCCCCATACAAACCTCCATATGCAAAACCTCCGCCACCTTTACCCCGTGGTTATTACTGCCCCCCACGACGCTACTCCCACCATTGCTGCTCGCGTTGCTCATCCTCTCGCTGTAGACCCGCCAGCCATCCATGGAGCTGCTGTTCTTGATCGTGGGAAGAATCTGGTGGGGATTCGATGGATTCGCTTGCTTGGGACCCAGGCGCTGGTAATTCGCCGCGTTGGATCTCATGGCGGACGGGGAGCACGCCGTGGCTTTCACCTCGGCCAGGGCCTTCCTCCGCGGATTTGGAGCTGGGCTTGGATGGGGATTCGAGGAAGAACACGATCGAGTCCTCCTCCTCTGGATCGCCCCTGTGGATTTGGGATCGTCCCCTGTTTCCGCTGGAACTGAGATCACAGCGTTCTGGCTGGAGGAGGAATCGGATTTGGATGGCGGCCTCCGGACGACCAGATCCCCATCGGCGACGCGGAGATTGTTGCAGCATGTCGAGACCTTGGATTCCGACGCGGATCTCCCCAAGCTGGGCTCGATTTGCGCGTCAAGCTGCTGCTGGTGCTGCCGGCTCCCAGCTCCCGCGGAGCTGCTCCTAAACAGGAGCTTGAGGCGAGAGGAGGACGAGGAGGATCCCAGCTTGGAGGAGGAGGAGGAGCTCGAGTGATTCAGGGGCTCTGTCTCGATCGAGAGAGAGGAGGAGGAGGAGGAGGAGGAGCGCATGAAATTGAGCGTGAGGAGATCCTTCCATCGGCTGCTGGCGGGCGACTTTGGGGGTACCTGGTGTCGAGGAGGCTGCGATTGATCGGATTCGTGGGCGCTGGTGATTTGGGCGATCTCGGCATCGCTCCCAATGCTACTGCGAGGCGCCTCCGCCTCCTCCGGGCCGTTCACGGCCGCCGCCGCCCTTGGCGGAGCCGCAGCGCTGCGATCGATCGGGAGGAGCTTGCCGTTTTGGATGAGCTCCACGCCCTCCTCGCCATCTGCCGCCCCGCCCCGCAGCAATGCAAGCATGCCGAAATCGAAATCGGCCGAGGAAGCGGAAGGGATCAAGGCCGGATCCTTCCTCGCCGACGATGGAGTGAATACATCAGACTGGACGAAATCCCTGGAGAAGGACAGCCGCGGGCTGCCAGGCGCCCACAGGACGCTATCGCCACCGCCGCCGCCATAGCCCTCCTCTTCCAAAATCGAGGAATTGCCCATTAAAGCTGCACGACTTGATCGAATTCGCTGTGCACGACTGGATCGGATTCGTCCCCAGGGAACGAGCGCCTGGGGTTCTTCCAAGAGTGGCGAGAGACGCAAGGAACTTCAGAGCACGCCAAAGACACGATCGCTACAAAAAGAGCTAGGCGAAAATTACGAACGCCCCAAGGACTCCACTTATTCCGGCATAGCGCCGGAATATACCACCTCCTCAGCCAGAATATACCTCTCATGCAGGACATTCCGTCAGGTGTGATTAGTTAACTGTACTTTGAAAGGCCTTTTAACGTCGCTTTTAACATGGCGGGTTTACAAATTACAAGAGTCCTTCCTTTTTACTTTATTACGGCAATGGCGTACACCGCGGTGAAAGGTAAAAGCCCCCCCTGGGCCGATCGATCCCGAATCTCAACGAGGTCATGCGCTCTCACCACCGTTAGTTTTGGGAGCTTCCGTACGCCATTGTCATGTTATCGTGCTGTGGTTCGTAGACAAACAACAACGCTAAGTTCTAGAACCTCAGGACTATCCTACCGAGAAGTTCAGCCAGTGGTCTTCCGTACGGCCCCAGATTGACCTTGGAAAAAGTTTGCCTTGAGTCCTTGACGGATGATTGATTGATTGATTGGCAGGAGAAAAAAAATCTTTCATCCATTCCAATTTCCACGCCAACACACACATTGTCTGCCTGGGCTAAAAGCTATAATATGCGAGCTCTTTGAGAAGAGCTCCTTTTGTGTGAGCGAGGGTGGCGTCCAAGATTGTGGATTTGGCCATAACAAATGGAGCAAGAGAGCCTTTTGTTTTGTCCCCACACTCTGGGCCTAAACGCGGCGCGGTGCCAACCAAGCCATGTTAGATACAGAGATATTCTAAGCCTTTATTTTTTCTTTTTTCCTCGCATGCATGGCTCCGCAACTTTTTAAAGGGAATTAGGTTAGGTGGCAGCTATACACAAACACACATATACACACACGTCCAAGAAACGCCAAAGGACGATCGACGTGATCGATCGGCCGACGAGGGGTGCCTTTTTCCAGGTTGGGCCCTGAGGATTATCAAGATTAAAAGTTGGCGGGATTCCACAACAAATCCTATAGTTATCTCAAAGATAGCATGGAAATATTTCGTGATCGGAGCCCTGGTTGTTGTTGTTGCTGCGGTTGCGTGAAGCCAGAGGAGAAAAGGAGTTTCTACTTTCTTTTATGAATCTTCACGGAATGGGAAGGAATGGAAAGTGGAGGGTCTCGCTGAGCAGAGGGTGTGTCATGGGCATCCCGCGTTTTCTGGCTGGTCTTTACATGTGAAGGATCTCCAAAATTGCTATAAGATATTTTTTTTTCTGTGCTCTAGAGTTTGAAGGGTTCCAACTCTCTCTCTCTCTCTCTCTCAGACACGCACACAAGAATAAGAACAAGAAATATACACAAGAACGAGAGATTTAAGCTGACTTTGAAGGATGCTTATGCTTGTTTGGATGGTGTCGTTTGTGGCTTCTAGAAACGTATCGTTTTCGCGAATTTATAGCTTTGCAGACCACTAGCGAGCGAGTGGGAGAGCGGCGGTGGCGTGACACTTCAAAGATCTTTACGCGTAAACCTTGGAAACGAAGATAATCTCATGCTCCATGCTAACTAACCGAGTGAATGCTCAATCGAGTCGCTCCTGGCCCAGGAAATAAATGAGAAACAGTATAATTCCAAAGTACAAGTCCTGGAGTGATTGCGTGACAGTAAGCAAGCTATGGATGGCGCTGGAACACCAAAGCCAACCCGCAATCAATCTCCGCGATCGATGAATGAGACGAAAGAATCAGAATTCATGGCTGGCTGGCCGGGCCCTGGCTGTTTGCTGCTGCTCTCCTGGGATGAGATATCATCAAAAGCTCGCAATCGGCGATATTCTCTCCCCTTTCACTGCACAGGCCACCAGCAGCAGCAGCACCAACAGCATTGACTGAATAGTAGAGACGCAATCGCGAAACGAAACACATAAATGCTTCTTCGTCACTGTTGGTCCCAGCTGAAGAGAATCCATCGGTTTGTCAGGATGAGAGAGTACTTACTTTGCCTGTCCTTGTGCTTGCGGGAGTAAAATTCCTAGAGTATAGAAACAGCATCCACGACCTTGGTGTGATAAAAGGTGATACTGTAAAAATCAGATTTTGAGCAAAGAATCGATAGAGAAAAGCTTACTTGCGCGTCGGAGATCACAATTCCATACGAAGTTCTCGAGGACACACTGCAAAGATGAGATAAAGAAGCTGAGAGTTAAGAAAACCGAAAGAAGAAAAGAATACCGTTCACAAACATGACTCCGTGTCTGATATCTCGGTCGAGACTTCCACCTTTTTCAAGCTGGAGATGGAGTTTTGGTGTAGCTTTCCTCGTTTCATCCTCGACCAGTGGCACTCCTCACCGGGCCTCCTCCGGCTCCGACTCCGTCTCGGAACGCTGGGCTCGCTCAGCACGTCTTCGCTCCTGTCCATGCCCTCAGCCGTGGCCACGGACTCCACCGGCTTTTGATCGTCGTCCAGGACCAAGCTCCTGCTCGCAACCGCGTTGGAAGCTCGGAAGACCTGCGATGGAAACTGGCCGTGGGGTGGCGAGCCGAGGAGCAGCTCGTTTTGTTCGTCTCCCCGCCTGTGAGTGATTATCGTCGCCGGCGCGGGCTTGTCTTTGTCGAGGATCTGCTGGAGCTGCCTGGGATCATACATGCAGCTGGGCTGGATGCCTCCGGGTGAGAGCGCGCGGATCTGGAGCGCTCGCATGAGCGCCGCGCGACGTAAATCCGGGGGGTGGCACGGGTCGCTCGGCGATGGTGGAAGCCGGCAGCACTCGGACTCGTGGAGGTGTCTGGGCAGCGAGGACGTGGGAGGAGACGAGTTTAGTGATCGAGAGGAGGAGCGGCTGGGCGACGTGCTCACGGACATGAATTGCTCGTCGCCATCGTCGGACATTGGAGAATCGAGAGCAACATGATCCTCCCTGGCAAAGCAAAGCAAAGATCTCTCTCCCGAGAAAGAATCGTATCGAACTTTACCCGAGATAGCTACGAGCAGACGAGAAAGATTTGGCAAGCACAGCTCCTGGATCGAGGGAGTCGCCAAAATCCTCGTTCTCGTCGGGAATAGCAGCACTGGCGATATCAACGTCCGCGACTTTCAGTCCATTGAGGCAGGAAGAAATCACCTGGAAGAACAAGGAAAAAATGCAGGCCAAAAACCATGAGAGAGATTTTTTTTTTTAAGATTGGAGCTCGTACCTCGGTGAGATATCTCTTGTTGGAGTAATAGTTGTCGAGGTAGACCTCATCGTCGCCCTCGCGAATCCTCTTCCCCATCCTGGAGCTCGCGGCTGTGCCATCGATCACCATTGCCGACTGCCCTAGGAGATAGCGAGCAAGGAACCATCCCAGCCGTTGATTCCTTGGCTGCCATCAACGGCTAAGCTCGTTGCCATCTCCGCCGTCCACTCCTTGCTCGCGATACATGGCGGAGAGCATCACGTATGGAGCAGCCATGGCGTCGTCCGCCGCCATAGCCATCTCCACAGCTCCTCTTCCGCGGGGGAGATCACCGTGGCTCTTGCAAGCTGCCACTAGAGTCCTCCAAGCGATCAATTCCTCCGACTGGAGATCCAGAGCTTGGATGAGATCCTGCGCGTCGCCCAGCTTCCCATTTCTCGCTAGCAGATCGAGCATACACATGAAGTGATCGATTGTGGGATCCTGCCCATAGTCTTGGATCATAGAGAGGAAGAGGCGGCGAGCGATTTCTAGCTTGCCGCCATGGCTGCAAGAGGAGAGCATGCTGATGAAGAGAACAGGGGTTTGGCTCAGACCCTCCACGGCCATGGCGTGGAAGAGCTCCATCGCCTCCGCGGGATACCCATTCCGGGCATAGTGTCCAACGATGCTTGTCCAGGGGATAGAATTGGAGCGAAGAATTCGCTCGTGGATGAGGAGATCGAAGCACGCTCTTGCGAGATCCATTCGCCCACATCGCCCGTAGAGATTGATGAGAGCGTTGGCCACTCCCAGTCCCAGTTCCTCGGAGATGATCCCTGCCGCAGTGATCTCGGAGTGAATTCTCCGGCCCTGGGCGAGATCCAAGAGCTGGGAGCACGCTTCCACGGCCGCAGCAAACGTGACGCATTCGGGCTCCATCCCCGCTAGATCCATCGCCAAGAACATCCCTAGAGCCTCCCTGCTATGCCCCGCGTGGGCATACCCGCAGATCAATGTGTTCCAAGAAACAGCGTTACCCTGCGCCATCCGATCGAAGAGGGCCTTCGAATCTCTCAGATTCCCGTGCTGGGCAAGAGCTCCCAGCATCGTCGTCCAGGAGACGATGTTCTTGCTGGGCATTTCTAGAAACAAAGCCCAGGCCTCGTCGACCTTCTCGGCTTTGCTCAAGAACTTGACGAGCGCGGTGCCAACGGCGACATTGGATTCCATCCCGGCCTCCAAGATGACGGCGCGCAAGAATCTGGCCTCAGCAGCATCGATCGCCTCGAGCGCCGAGAGGAATGTGGCCCTTACTGGCCTCTCCCCGTGGAGATTCATCATCCGGAACACCCGCATCGCGCCTGGGGAATCGCCAATGCCCGCAAGAAGCCCAATCATCGCGTTCCAGGACACCACGCTGCGATCGGGCATCCGATCAAACAGCTCCTTCGCCTTCTCTGGATGCCCATTCCGGGCATACGCAGTGAACATCACATTCCACGAGACGACGCTAGGATCTTGCAGCCTGTCAAACGCCGCGCGCGCCTCGAAAACTCTACCCAGCTCTCCAAACATCTGGATCAATGGATTCCCGACGCTGGCCAGGCGATCCACGCCGGATCGTGCTGCTTGGGCGAGGAGCATTTGTGCTTGCTCCAGATCCGTGCATTTCGTGATCTTCGACGCGAGCCCTTGCTGCTCCTGGAGCTGACGGGCGCGATCCAGGGCTTGCTCTATGGCGTCCACGCATTTCTTCCTGGAAGCCAGAGATCTGGCAATGGGAAAAAAATGAGCTCAATTGTCAATCCACGGTCTTTGAAGACTTAACTTACATTGACTTTTCATTGACGTTGTTGACCTTACATTGACTTTCAAGTTTGAGCTCGAAGTGGTCCAAAATTCCAAAATCTTAAAGCTTTTATCGCGCTGTCCAACCAGGAGCGCTTTGCCATTCTGCCTTGTTTGTTATTGCGAAGCGCTCCCGTGAACGATAGCACATTTAATCCTTGGCGTGAAAAAATACTGTCGTTGTGATGTAAAGAAAGAGCAAGGGGCTTAGATTCGAGCCATCGATCGCTTTAAAGCACCAATCACGGAGGTGAAAGTGAAAGAGAGAGACTCCATGGAAGATGGCTCTAGCTATCAAGTAAGTGAAGGAAGTAAAGAGGATAGATTTTTTTACCATGATCGATCTGTGTGCGTTCTTCTTCTTCGTCCCAGGATTTCATCCAAAGAATCCATCCCAAGAAACCACGCTGGATCGAGAAGTTGTACGCGAAGTTCATGAATTCCTTCTCCGGATCAGGTTTCGACAAGGTGAATTTAGATCGATGTGAAAACTTTCGTGATTGGTTTAGTTCTTGATCGATCAAGGACACCGCCAAGCTCTTCAGCCAGATCGATGGACGCGCACGCACTGTTTTGGAGGTCGGGATTGGGACTGGAGTGAATTTCAAGTACTTGAGTGGAAGGAATGATCTCAAGATCACCGGAGTGGATCCAAACAAAAGCATGGAGAAGTACGCCGTCAATTCGCTCGTAGCAGCTGGATTTCGTGGCGACCAATTCGAGTTCATCCACGGAGTAAGCGAAAGCTAGCTAGATTTTGCAAAATTTCAATGAATCCCCAGGATGAACGATCACCTATGATATCAAGGTTGGCGAGAAAATTCCCTTGGAGAGCTCGAGCATCGACGTGGTGATCTCGACCTTGGTACTTTGCTCTGTCACAGACGTCTCATCTACGATGCAAGGTATCCAAAAATGTATCGATCGAAGGAAAATTCGTTTTTCATCTTTCTTTTCTTCGCTCACAGAGGTGATCAGAGTTCTCAAACCTGGAGGACAGTTCTTGTTCGTGGAGCACGTAGGAGCTCAAGGTAAGATCTCCTTTTCTTTCCCCTGTTTCCATGATCTCTGGATGGATCCAGATGGGAGCTGGCTCAATCTCTTCCAAAATCTTCTCAATCCCATCCAAGTCTTCGTTGCGGATGGATGCCACTTGAATCGCGACACCTTGTCCTTCATACGAAAGGCTAGATTCTCCTCGATCGACGCTCGCAGCTATCGATTTCCATCCAAGAATCCCCTCATTTCTTCCTACATTGTGGGAGTAGCACGAAAGTGAAAATAAAGGAAAAATTAGCCCTACACGTATTTAGGGTTTTCAGATCTGCGAGAATGTATGGCTTCGAGGCGCTCACCTTCAACATCCATGGCGGATTCCTGGAGGCGATCGTCCGCGGCTTTCGCTCCGGGATGCTCACCACGGCCGACTACAACAATCTCTCGCAGTGCGAGACGCTCGACGACATCAAGATGCATCTCTCAGCTACGGATTATGGCCCCTATCTCCAAAACGGTGAGTGAAATTCTCTACTCCTTCCCCCAATTCGAATGCGAGGTCGCATTTTTATCGATCCATCATTTAGAGCCTTCGCCCTTGCACACGACCAACATTGTGGAGCGATGTACCCAGAAATTGGTGGACGATTACAATAGCTTGCTCGTCCAGGCCACGGAGCCGCTGTCCAAGTTCCTCGAGTATATAACGTAAGCTCTCGGTTGATAGAATCATGGTTTTATTTTTTTTTCCATTGCTTAAGAATTTCGGTGCTCCTCCACCAGGTATGGATACATAATTGACAACGTGGTTTTGATCGTCACAGGAGCTCTTCACGAAAGAGATGTCCAAGAATTGCTTGAAAAGTGTCATCCCCTGGGAATGTTTGACGGGTATTTTCTTTACTCTGAGCTCGTTCTTTCTATGTTCTAAGTTTTTTTTTCTTCCTTACCTAGGATTGCCACTGTTGCCGCAGCTCACAACATGGCTGAGCTATACCGTCTTGTGCTCGTGGATACGCCCTTGGCTCCTTACTTTTCTGGATGCATCACCTCCGAAGTAGGTTCTGGAATTCTTGCCTATTAGCTCTCAAATGAACAGGATTATGCAGGACTTGGACGACATGAACATTGAAATCATGCGAAACACTCTATACAAAGCTTATTTGGAGGACTTCTACACTTTCTGCAAGGTTCGCTAATGCCTTTTTCTTTTCTGGTCTCTCACCACATTGCATCGGTTTCAGAAACTTGGTGGTGCTACCGGAGAGCTTATGTGCGACTTGCTTGCTTTTGAAGCTGACCGCAGGGCTGTCAACATAACCATCAACAGGTTTTCGTGAATTGTCATCTATGCTGATTACTGATGGGTTACGGTCTTTTAGTATTGGCACTGAGTTGACTCGGGATGATCGGCGCAAGCTTTACTCGTCATTTGGACTGCTGTAAACATTCTATTTCTTGTTACATTCTCTGGGAGTGATAATTTCTATTCAGGTATCCTTATGGCCATGAAGAGCTTGCTCTGTGTGATGATCCCGACCAGGTAGATACTGCTTTTTGTCATTCTTGAGAGTTGACGATACGACAGGTCCGAGCTGCTGTGGAGAAATATCCTCCATATCAACCAATTTTTGCGAAGATTGAATATGGCGAGAGCCAAATGCTCGACAAGGCATTTTACGAAGAAGAAGTGAAGAGATTGATATTGACCTTCGAGCAACAGGTAACTGCTCAATGTTGCGCTCTTAAATTCTAATTCTTAGAGGTGTTTCCTGTAGTTCCACTACGCAGTGTTTTTTGCATACGTCCGACTACGGGAGCAAGAGATCAGAAATCTCATGTGGATATCAGAGTGTGTTGCACAGAACCAAAAGAACCGGATTCACGATGGAATAGTGATGATCTTTTGAGGTATGCTCAAGCAAAGGAAGCGTTTATGCAAAAGCTTTGTTTTTGCAGATATGTATTTGATCGTGTTGTAATAAGAGGTTGCGCTTTGGTTCAGCTAAGGCTTGCCTGACGTCTCATTCGAATGGCTCAATGCTAAGTGGAATGTTTTTGGACGGGCAATGGGTTTGTGTGTAGCGTGTGTCTGTAGATAGGCGACGCAACGAGCATTTGGATGGATTCATTGGGTCTACTCCAGGGAAGTAGTTACGGGAGATCTTCTCTGGCGAAGAACCAAGCGGTTTGCTCTGGACCTTTTTCACTGAGATTGCAATTGACACCGTTGCTTGTATGTGCAGGAGGGCGACTGTGTGGAGAGTGGAGGAGACGAGAAACAAACGCTGGTGGTAGTAGGGGGTGGCGCTGCGGGTGTCTATGGAGCCATTTGGGCTAAAACAGCTTGCAAGCATCTCAAAGTCGTTGTCTTGGAAAGAGGACACTTTTTATCCAAGGTTCTTTTCTTGCTTTCCATTTCTGGTGAAGACCGACTCTCGTCCTGCTCCTCTTTTCCTACCTAGGTGAAAATCTCTGGGGGTGGACGCTGTAATGTTACTACGGGCTTGTTTGTGGAACCGCTGGTAAAGTATAGTGGCCGAGGAGTTTTACTCTTTAAGTTCTGGTTCCAGCCGTTGTCGCAGCAATATCCAAGGGGCCACAAGGAACTTCGTGGATCTTATTTTAGAGAACACGGACCTCTTGAAACTGCTGCCTGGTTTCATGAGCATGGAGTTCCGCTCAAGGTCGAGCTTTAGTTAGTACAAGTGTGCCTTTGGCTAGCTTCTATTTTTCGTTTCTCAGACCGAAGAAGATGGAAGAATGTTCCCAGTAACCGACGACTCCGGAACTGTTGTGGAATGTCTCCTCAACAAGGCTCGACGAATTGGAGGTTCGTTTGGTCTTTTTACCGGATATGTGCTTGAAATTCTTGCAGTTTCCTTGAAGAGCAATGCGCTTGTGAAAGACATTGTGCCGCTGAATGGACGGTTTGATGTTCACTTCAAGAATAAGAACGAGCCATTCTCAGAAAAGCTACAAGCGGACTTTGCTCTACTTGCAACTGGCAGCTCGCCACAGGTATCAAGAGTGTCATGTTGCTAGACTTACCGAAGACAAATGATGGACAGGGGTACAAGTTAGCAAAAGAGCTGGGACATGATCTTGTTTCTCCCGCTCCAAGTCTATTCACTTTTAAGGTTGCAGATTCTAAGCTCGGAGAACTTGCCGGAGTAAGTAAGCCACAAAATTTTCTTGTTTAATGAGTTTGTTTCCTTTGTTGGATTGAAGGTCAGCTTTGAACATGTTTCTGTCGACCTGGAAATTCTGTGCTGGAATAAACGAAGTGTCAACTTGCGGCAGGTGTATATTGTTTGATCGTGATCGAACAGCTTTGCGATGTTTTCCCTTTCCAGGACGGGCCACTTCTCGTCACGCACTGGGGATTGAGCGGTCCTGCTGTGCTGCGTCTCTCTGCATGGGCAGCCAGGGACCTCCTCAAGGTAGACTACAAAGGTTTGGAGAGCGATGAATTTATTTAGTGATTTTCGCGTTTGACATTGAGGAGTTTTGATGCAGGAACTTTGTGGGTGGACTTCGCACCGAAGTTTTCCCTGGACGAAGTGAAGAAGCTGCTGGTAAAGCAGAAAACACTTTCCCCGGTAATCATCGATTCTCAGAAAACTTCCGTAAAGTTGCAAGTATGTTCTCTTCCTTCAGAGAAGAAAGCTAGATAGCGGCGCCCCTTTGGTATTACAACTAGTGAAGCGATTTTGGCAGTACCTGATCCATCGACAGGTATTTCTAGTAGGCTTTCTCTCAAACATCTAAAAATCTTTTAGGATCTAAACGAGGAGGCTGTGTGGTACGAGCTTTCAAATCGACAGCTGGGTGACTTAGCAGGCCTCCTTAAGCGGTGTTCCTTCCAAATCTCTGGCAAAGTAAGCTCCTTTTCAACCTCGTCGGATCTCGTGACAATGATCTTTGTCTATCAGGGGGAGTTTAAGGACGAATTTGTAACTGCTGGAGGGGTTCCACTCGACGAGGTAAGCTCATCCGGCTCCAAAATCTCCGGCAGCTCTTTAGTGTTTTCAACAGGTGAATCTCAAAACTATGGAGAGCAAGAAATGCTCTAACCTCTACTTGGCTGGTGAGGTACGCGGAGCTATGAACTTAAAAATTCCACTCCTCACACTCTTTCGTCTTGCAGCTTCTCAACGTCGATGGCATCACTGGCGGCTTTAATTTCCAGGCGAGTGAGAGCCAAAGTCTCGAGATTTCTTACGACCATGGTGGTAACAAATGGTTTCTTCTCCTTTTCCAGAACGCATGGACGAGTGGCTACCTATCGGGATCAGCCATTGCGAAAAAAGCCACGTCGCGATCGTTGTAGCGAAGCTTTGAAGCTAGAGTCTCGCGAATATCCCAGTCATTAAACTGTGATTAGGGTTTCTTGGAGCAAGGTTTTAGGGTTTTAGGGGAGCGCGCGCGAGCTCCAGGTATGGCGGGCTTCACGGGCTTCGGCGCCAGCAGCAGCAGCACGCCATCGACGGGATTCTCCTTCGGCACGTTTGGAGCAGCCAGCAGCACGGCGTCACAGCCCGCATTTGGGTTTGGATTCGGCGCCACTCCATCCTCGGCTCCGGCTTTCGGCAGCGCCACTCCCACGCCCAGCTTTGGTGCCAGCAGCAGCCCGGCATTTGGGTCCAGCAGCTCCACACCAGCGTTTGGCGCGTCTCCGGCATTTGGTCCGCTACCCCGCCATTTGGGGCCAGCACTAGCCCGGCCCCGGGATTTGGAGCAGCGACGAGTAGTGGATTTGGAGCAGGGAGCTCTCCATCGCCGGGATTTTTTGGAGCGAGTAGCAGTCCGGCGTCGGCATTTGGAGCGAGCCCGTTTGGAGCAAGCAGCTCTCCCGCGCCAGCATTTGGAGCGACCAGCTCTCCGGCATTTGGAGCGGGCAGCTCTCCGGCATTTGGAGCGAGCAGCACTCCGGCATTTGGAGCGAGCAGCACTCCGGCATTTGGAGCTAGCAGCACTTCGGCATTTGGAGCGACCAGCACTCCGGCATTTGGAGCGACCAGCACTCCGGCGTTTGGAGCGAGCAGCTCTCCAGCATTTGGAGCGAGTAGCCCGTTTGGATCAAGCAGCACTAGCCCAGCCCCGGCATTTGGAGCTAGTAGTAGCCCATTTGGAGCGAGCGGGAGTAGTCCTGCGCCGGCGTTTGGAGCCAGCAGCAGCCCGTTTGGAGCGAGCAGCAGCAGTAGCCCAGCTCCGGCATTTGGCGCGAGTGCTTTTGGAAGCCCATCACCCGGGTTTGGAGCAAGCACTAGTGCTTCTACGTCGCCCTTCACTCAGGCTGCGCCACTCTTTTCGAGCCAGGCACAGGCGGCTACGTCTTCGTCGCCCTCGTGGTCGGCTCCTCCATCCTCGGGCTTTGGATTCGGAGTCTCTACCGCCACTGCTTCTTCCACTCCGCCACCCTCTCAAGGCTTCTCGTTTGGGAACAGTTCCGCTGGCTCTCAGTCTACTCCAGCAACGACGCAAGCTAGTGCCGGTTTCGGGGGATTTGGCCAGAAGCCATTGACTGGAACGAGCTCGTCCTCTGGATTTGCAGCCTCGCTGTCCACACCGGCGTTTACTTCGTCGTCTGCGAGCCCGAGCACGACGCTCAGCCTTGGGAACACGAGCTCTTCGGCGGCGCCGTCTTTGTCGTTTGTAGCACCTTCAGCAACTCAACCCCAGCCTGCTGCTACGACGCCGCTCGCTCCAGCACTGTCTTTCAGCTTTAGCACTCCCGCAGCTAGTTCGAGTGCTGCAGCGTCACCGGCATCGCCATTGTTTGCAAGCTCTGCTGCTTCGCCTCCCGCATCGGCACCAGCTCCAGCTTCGACGCCTTCTATCTTTTCTACGCCGGCTCCTTCCACTTCAAAGCCGCCCACAACCAGTGCAGCTCCGTTCGCGTTTGCAACGCCAGCAGCAGCTCAATCTTTGGGAACCACTGCTAAAACTACTGAAGCGGGTACGCTATATCCTTCTGTTGTTAACAATGTTGACGGTCTTTCTTCATGTTATTCTACTCCCAGTGTTGACAACGCCTGCAACAACAACACAGGGAAGTTCCGGAGGTCTCCTTGTTTCATCTGCGGCAACAACTACGTCAGCTTCTATAGTACCTGCACCGACACCAGCAGCCTCTGCGTGAGCTTGCTCATTTTCATGTTGTTTAGCAATAATATGGAGGAATGCTTTCGCAGGACCCCGACGGCTGAAAAGACTCCCAAGTTCCCATCAGAGATTGTTGGGAAAACTGTGGAAGAGGTGTGCTATTACATTACTCTGAGCAGCTAACAGTTTGTAAATCAGATTATAAAAGAATGGACGTACGAACTTCAAGAGCGGACGGCCAAGCTTCGTAAACAGGCTGAGGCACTTGGGGAGTGGGATCGGCGGATTATCAGCAACAGGAATGTGCTCATAAAGCTCGAGGTAAATGAGATTTTGGCGAGAGTGTTGTCTTTAACCCGTCTTTTCTTCTCAGAGTGAAGTTGCAAAAGTCGTGGAGTCACAGCATGGGCTGGAGCGCCAACTAGAACTTATAGAAACACATCAGCAAGAGGTAAAAGGATTCCCAACAATCTAACTCGTAGATGTCCTACTTGGCTGCAATTGTTATCAGGTCGAGAAAGCTCTTGAAAGTATAGAAGAAGAGGCTGAACGGCTCTACAAGGACGAGCGAGGACTCGTTCTTGAGGACGAAGCCACAGCAACTAGAGATACAATGTAAGTGTTCTTTCTGCGTGGAGAGATGTTTAGCTGATTTCTTTCGTTTCTTCTCTTGCAGGTTTGAGCAAGCAGAATTCATCGAAAGAGAACTGACTCGAATGGGTGAGCAGATCAAGGAAACTGTGGAGAATATCAATGCGAGTCAGGTACTAGAGAGTTTGACAAGTTTTGATCGAGGCAATGATGATTTTGTTGTTTGCTAGGGTGGGGACATACATATGATTGAAAATGCTAGTCCACTCGACTTGGTCGTGAGAATTCTCAACAACCAACTAACTTCACTCGTTTGGATTGATGAAAAGGTTTATCTCAGGTTTTCGACTCGATGCCTAGATTGATTTTTATTTCCAGGCTGCGGAACTATCCGCGCGAATCCAGAAGCTTTCAGACAATGGCATGACTTTCAGCACCAGAGGCTTTCCTCCTGGGGTCAAATTGAGAGGAGCTTAGACTGATTTTGTTAGAACCGATAAATTAGAGCAACCATTGCTGATCACTTTGAATCTTTTACTTCGAAAAATAAAAAATAAAATGTTTTGATAAGCAACTGTGAGTGCATGGACACTTGGAGCTCACACAACCAAATTTGAAGATGCTAAACCATTTATAATAACTTAACAATAATATAATGCACTATAATTACTCTATGTGGTTATAAAATGAGATTTAATAAAACTTTGAAACAACTTTTTACACCAAAATGAAGACAAATAAACTATAGTAACCATTTGAAAAATTTAAAAGCCAAAAACGTTAATTATGATACTTGTGCAAAGGTGAAAATCTTAAATAAACACATACTTAAAGAGTAAATTTATCTTGCCAAGTTTCTTTAGTAAAATTTTATTTTTAATAATATTATATTAGAAGAGCATTCAATGGAAAAAAGATGAAATAAAATAAAGTTAAATTTATGTGAAAATAATGAATAATAGTGATGCTATTTAAAATGTATTTTATGTCTATTTCAAATTGTATGTGATTTGAGTGACCACAATACAAAAGAAGGTAAGGTAATAGTATAGGATATAATTAGTAGAAATACACATTTTCTTGTGAATTATCTTTATATGAGATATAAAGTATAATATTGGGTTGAAATTAAAAACTAAAATGATTTATCAATGTCTATTTCAATTTGTTGTAAAGAACAGGATTTCACAACATTTACTTTCAAATGCTAACATTTTCAAAATATTATATCAATGGATCCTTCGAATTTTCTCAGTCAAGAATTAAAATAGGACAAAGAGATAAGATCAAATTTATGAGGCTAAAAATAAACAGATTGATTATAAAGACCTTTACAAGTAATGGTTAAATATTACCATATTAAACAATGGCGGCTGAAGTTCAAACTCTTTGATTGCTAAGAGCAATGCCTAATGACAATTTCTTTGTCCATGTAGAACCAGATGAAGAGGGACTTTTTTCTCCAGGTTCTCGACCCAGCTCTTCTTTCTTTCTGATTGCAAATTGGAAGGGGCCAAGAGGCCAAATTGAGCACCAAAAGGATTAAAAGAAAAATTTATTTGCTAAATGTAATATTCTAATATTATATATGGTACACGTTTTTTTAAAAGCCAATTCGATAAGGGTAATTATTTAATAAAAAAGCCTTTATTGGCTGCTACCCAAAAATATTTAAAAGGATGGCTTTGAACGAAAGTGAATTCCAACACGCCAAGACGGCCAAAGTAAAGCCCATTTTGTATGCTCTTTGTCTGGAAACGATGAATCTTTGTGAAATTTTTTGGGAACTTACAGTGGCATTGTATGTGCCACCTCTAGGACCACCTTTCAAAGCTTGTCTCACCTTCAAATGAAAACCAAAATATAAGAGCAAAGTTCCAAATTTATGACAAGTTTTCTTACCACTTTGGCTCCAGCAGCAAAGACAAGCATCCAGCACCTTGGCTCAGCTCCACTACTTCCCCCCAAAGTCTCAAGAAAATTGGATGGATCCACGCAAGCTTTCTCCAAAACTCTAAATGCTGCAAACACCTCTGGAGCTGGGATTTTCTTGCTCTTGGCAGCGGCCTTTAGCACCAAAACGCTCTCCTCGACTTTGCTATCCACTTCCCCTGAACGATTGTGAAAGAAAGCTTTCTAGAATTTCTATACGAGTGAAAATTTACCTTGAGATTCTCCAGTCGCAACCCTGGCATGAAACTTTCTAGTTCTGGTACTTCTAACTTACCTGTCCGCTTTGAGAGCTCCAAATCCCAGTGTACTATGGCGAGGAGAGTAAGATAAGGGCATAAAGCTAAGATCCTATAAAGATATTAGAAGTCAGTGAGGTCCGTCAGGGTGCTGGAAAGCATGGTGCATTTGGGATTTTATTAGATGTATGGGTGTGTGCTTCAGATGCTGTGTGTGTGTGGGTGTTTTTAATTTTGTTTCACGCTGTTCAAATATACTTTGTAGTCCCCCTGTGACAAGTCTTCAGGCTGCGTCAGGTAAGCAGCAGCGGTTGTTTGAGTTGGCGTTCTTTTTGCTAACCCCTGTGTTCTCTGCCCCTTGTGTCCTTGGAGGTTTACTTTTTCTTGCCATCTTACTTTTTTGCTCTGTCTGGTTTGTATTGCTGGGGAACTGTACTTAGTTTCTGCAGTTCTCCTTTTGTGTTTTATGAAGTTATTTTTTCTGTTTGCGTTTGTCTCTGGTGACGAGCGCTTGTTCTCTGTCATTACGATTATTGTCCCACCTAGCTGCGACACTTTGAATTCGGGACTCACAAGATTTTGTTCTTTTTGCAGTTACTTGCTCCTACAGCCCTTTGTCCTTGGAAGATAAGAAGCTACTGGACGAGTTTTTACGGGGGATTTGTGCTCAGTAATGGCGTTCTGGAAGGAGACCCTCACTTTGCTGCATCGTTTGCATGAGCAAAGGACCATTGCGTTTGACAAGTTCTTGGCTGCTGCCACCCAATGCGAGTGAAGCAGGCAAAACGAGGACACTCGATGCGGAAAAAACCTCGTCAGACAGGAAGCTCCCACTCACAAACAGCACCTTGAACAAAATCTTCATGGCCATGAGGTATTTCTTTATGATGCGAGGTTCCAAAGCGTTCCACTCTTCTTCTGGACGTACAGCCTCTCCACGCACAGCCCAATTGAGAAAATTAGATGGCGAGCTTTCTCCAAAAGGAGGATATGGGAGTACTATGGTTTCATCAACATTGCTTGACTACTTAGCATACTATAGCTTTTGAAATTTATATTGCTGATCTGGTCCAGAATATCTGTTATCCAGAAAAAATTCACACATATTATTATTACATCAGTTCAGAGGTGTTTGCAACATTTAAAGTATTATATATAGCAAAAATTTGTGATTGCAACTAGCAAAATTGTGTGTGTGTGTGTTTATATATATATATATATATATATATATATATATACATATATGCATAAATTATTAACACACATGTATGACTCACAAAGTAATATTTTGAGCACAATGTTTTTTAGCATGTAAGCTAAATTTTAAACACTTTTTGAATACTACAAGTTGAGCTTGCTATTGCTACATATTTAAGGTACTTTCCCTAGTAAATGAAAAACACTTTGCAAGAAAGTGGTTTTGCAATAAATAAAGAAAATTTTATATAAGTGAATGTTAAATTGAGAGAAGGCTACAAAATGAAAAATCCTACCTCTTTGTTTGGAGTGGACTAGTGTACATTGCACCAATATCTCAAAACCATAGGTTAGGAAGGGGTATCCCCTCAAAGAGTGTTGTTGCAATTTAAGTGCTTCTTGAAGAAATTCTCCCCTAACAAGGGATTATGTATGTCAATAGCAAACTAAAAGACGCAAGATATAAAGTGAGTTGGGAAATGATAAAAGTTACATTAGCTCATGTTTACTTGAAGCAAGTCTTGCAAAGAAGACTGGAGTTAATTCTTTCAATGCGTTTTAATGTGGAGTCACCTATAAAGATATCCTGCCACATCTAGATCATGGTTTTGACACAACTTCTATTTTACAATATATTGCAAGCTAGAGCCTTAGGGCATCTATTTACACAGATTTATTTATGCCGATAAGTGTTTGAAGAGTCTAAATAATATCATGCACTTGGTGGTGTTGTTTATATGTGTAGAGAGCTTTTATATCACTAGCATACTTGTGTCAATGAATAAAGGAAGACCAACTCCTTACAAATACTACTGCAGAGCAATTTTATAATTTGGCCAGCTTAAATACATATGAGATCACTAGGTAAGGGAGTTTAATGAAATAAAGATAGACATAATGAATTGTGGGAAGGCCACAAAATATTATTTTTGTGTGGTTCCCCAATTCACAACTAGGTGAAAATTATGCCTTTTCATACATATCAATGATAATGTGCCTATAGCTGATTGAACACTTTTGGAGGGAGGTGTGGTGCATGGCAATGGTTTTTTTGTTTCATTTTTATGAGCACAAATTTGTGATGTATTGATTGTGATCATCATCTCTCTTCTCATTTCTCACAATTATAATTCACTTTTTATGGTTGTGGCTCATTTCTCATGGGTATAGGTCATTTCTCGCTGTTGTAGCTCATTTCTTGTAGCTTGGAAGTGTAGCACACTCTAATGTATGCACTTGTAAGCCACAAATTTTTCCTTTCCAATTTACCAATTTACCTCGTCTATCCGACCAACTCTGCCTTGGCTTGTGCTAAGTTCCCTCGCCAAGGTTCCCGCCTATGGTACCAGCTCCTACTTGGTTTCAGCTACTTACTGCACGAGCAACGGAGTGTTAGCCATCCATCTACGGATTCCCAAATCTCTCCCAATCCCCCTCCCCGGGTTAGACTGGACTTAAGGTTTGGCTACACTCCCCGTAGGCACAAACAGCCAAGCCCCCCAAGCCTCCAGATTCTTAACCCCCCTTGGTTCCCCAAGACTTGATCATGGGGCCCTTTAAATCCCAAGTTTTGGGGGCAACCCTTGTTTCGGGACGTCAGGGGGAAACCCCGTGGCCTAACGGCCCGGTATGGGTACCTTTACCCCCCCACTTCCATCCCGAAGGGAAGGCCCAAGCCCCTTGGAAGGGGGGGGGCCAATGAGCCCCAAGGTTCTTAAGGGGGGCCCCCCTCCCCCTGAGCCGGGGGCCCCCCAGTCGGTTTCCCTTTCGGGAGGGGGAGCTGTTTTTGGGCCCTTCCCTAGGGGGCCCCTCCGGCCCCACTCAGGCCCATGTTTATTCCCACCCAAGACCCCTTGGGCCCCAGTTTCAACCTCAAGTCAGTTTGGAAGCCCCCCTGGAGAGTTTTTTCAAGACTGGTTCCGGGACCCCATTATCCTTACAATAACTTTTGGGACCCCCTGTGAGCCCCCCCCCCCCCCCCCCCCCCTGGGAGACGCACGCTTTGGGCTTTCACCCCTTGACCCGTATTAGTATTTGGACTTAGTCTCTGGCTCGATCTCGGACCCGATTTCGGATCCGACTTCGGATTCGGTCTCGGACTCGACCTTGGACTCGGTCTCGGACCCGATTTCGGATCTCAGACTTCGTCTCGAACTCGGTCTCGAACTCGGACTCGAACTCGGTCCCCGAGTCGGTCTCGGACTCGATTCCGGACTCTATCTCGAACTCGGTCCTAGAGTCGGTCTTGGACTCGATCCTTGACTTGGTTCCATCCGATGAACTCTTTGTCATTTCGGTCAAGCTTTTGGGGATCCTTTAGCCTACGACATCTCGGGGAGTCGGTTCCTTACAGTACTGTGCTTGAATGAATCAATCTTGCCTCTCATTTCTCATAGTTTATTTGCAATATAGTGCTCTAAGTGGCAAGTGCAATTGATTGGAGTGCAGAAGTAAAACATTTCTTTAGGTGCTTGGGGTATTGAACATGATGGTTTTTAGCATTGTAGTGATTTGTTACACTACAAATTAATAGTATAAACCTTTTATTATTGGGATTTTGTTTCTTGGCCTAAGTTTAGTGGTTGCTGCAGTGATTATGTTGTAGTGCATTGCAATGCAATGGTTACACATAAGTAAGTAACTAATTTATACATATTCCTCTCCAATGTATATGTGTTTTTTAATCTAGATTCTTCTTTCCATAGCCAATGAGTTGATAGTTTTACACCTATATTAATGATAAGCACCTAGGTATATAGCTATAGTATGGCATTGTTGAGTCCAAACATTTGTATCACTTTGTTGGTGTGGACATACTTCCAAGCGAGTCCCTTATTAGTATATTTTGAATTTTGAAATGCATGTGCAGTTATTCAACTCATTTCTTTTGTAGAATATTGAGAATTAAAGCATTATTATGCTAATTGAGGATAGTTGCATGTGGGGATACTAGTATGTTTATATCATTTATATACCTCCACATATTTATGCTTATATGTGTTTTTTTTTTCTTTCCAAGAGAAAGATTCATGCTTTATTGGACTAGACATAGTTTAGTGGCAATAGTTGCTAAGACACATATTTGAGATTAAAGACCATATTATCCTCTTTTCTCCCGACATAACAAGCATGCGTGTGTGTGTTTTCCATACAACCCTCCTCTATTGCAAGTCACAGAGCTAATAGCACAAGTGGAGGATAATATTGTGGAGGAAGGTGAAGAGGGAGTGATGGAAGAGCATCTCACTGTTATAGAGATTGTAAAAGAAGAAGTGTTGAATTTTGAGAATGTAAAAGAAGCAACTCTGCAAGTGCAAGATCACACATGACGGAGTTGATGTCACTACGAAGGTGTGATAAACATCTATAACATATAATCTTAATAGATATCCTTTACTTCGTTTTAGTTATTTTTTATTTGTAAGGTTGGTGCCACACACCTTGTAACACAATTTTACATTATATAGCATGAGGTGGTGAATGAACATAAGCTAATGGTTGAAGGCAAAGTCATCAAAAAATGTGATGTGGTAGAAGACCCTTTATAATGTTATAAAGGAAAAGCCTTCACACCATTTTAGAGTTTAGATGCCAAAAATGCAATAAACCATACAACATAAACACATCACAAACATCACACAATCTTAGTCAAGAGTGATTTCTTGTAGTGGTTATGATTTTTTCGCATGAAGGGACACTCTTGATAAATGAATATCTTCTTCATGTTTTTTTATATATACATATCTATATATATACATATATACATATGTATATATGTACATATATACATATGAACGAGGAAGGTGAAGAGGGAGTGATGGAAGAGCATCTCACTGTTATAGATATTGTAAAAGAAGAAGTGTTGAATTTTGAGAATGTAAAAGAAGCAACTCTGCAAGTGCAAGATCACACATGACGGAGATATATACATTTCTGTTCGAAGTACCATAAGT